GGTGGGAACGCGAAGCGAGAGGTGGGCGCGGGTCGAAGGGTCAGCAGGGGGGACGGGCACGGCCGCGATGCCGGCGTACGCGCGCGGGAAACTCACCGTCGAGCACGGGCATCGAGAGGTCCATGAGGACGACATCAAAGTGATGCGGCGGGTGCATCTCAAACTGCTTGACGCCCTCCTCGCCGTTGCACGCCTCGACGTAGTCGACGTCGAGCTTGGCGAGAAATGCGGCAATCACCTTGCGGTTGATGGCATTGTCCTCGACCGAGAGGATCTGGAGGCGGCGCTGCTTGGGGGCGGCGTGGCCGGCGCTGCTGCCGGAGCTGCCGCCGCTGACGCTGCGCGGGGCCGACGACGAGACGACGCTGCGCAGCACGGCGCCGTCGCCGCCCTCGAGCGAGATGGTTGAGCCGGGCGTGTTGGGCGACGACGGGCCGGGCGAGTGGTCAAAGTAGGACGACGGCCCGCCGCTACTGCCGTCGGGCCCGTCTGCGCCGCCGCTGCGCTTACACGACGATGGCCCGCCCATGGGCGACATGAGGACGTGCTTGTGCAGCCGGGGCTCGTGGTAGGTGATGCTGCGGGCGGGCAGCAGCGGCCGCGACGGCTTGGAGCAGCCGACGGCGCCCGTGTCGGCGCAGGTGTCGGTGCCCTCGATCTTCTGGCGCACCACCTTGTCCTCGGTCGAGTGCCGGCGGATGAGCGACGTCGACGGGCCCGGTGGGCCCGGCGACATGTGGTAGGGCTCTGGCGCGGCGAGCCTGTCGGCGTCGAGGAGGGTCGTCGCTGCCGCTGCGCTCGGTGTCGTCGCCTCCGCCTGCGCCGCGCCCGACGACGGCGATGTCTCGGCCTTGGGCGTGAGCTCCGAGGCGCCAGACTCAAACGACTGGAAGCCCTGGGTCAGGGCCGGCCGCGTGTCGGATCGCGAGTTGGCGGGGAAGAAGTAGGTGTCGCCGTTCTCGACGTTGGCACGGGCGGCGGGCGACTGGCTCGGCGACGGCAGCGGCGTCGAGGGCTTGGTCTCCTCGGACGAGGGCGGGTCGCCGGAGCGCTGGCGGTCGAGGCACTGGAGGCAAAAGTCGACGACGCTCTCGAGCTTCGAGGGGCCGGCGGGCTTGAACAGGATCCGGGCCACGCCGCCCGCAGCGTGGTAGGCCTCGCACGCCGCCGTGATCTCGGCGTCGCCGCGGCCGCCGGTGAGGAACATGACGGGCGGCAGGTCGCCGCGCCGCTCGCGCCGGATCCGCTCAATGGCGGCCAGGTCGTCGTTGATGAGGACGACGTCGCCGTACCTGAAGCCGCGCGGGTCGTCCTGCTCGACGACGGTAAACTCCCACCAGTTGTAAAAGTAGCCCTCGATGGCGGCGCGCAGATCCTCGTCGCCGCGCGAGTTGCCAAAGCCGAGCAGCGCCACCGAGCGGCGCTTGCGGACGTTGATCGCGGGCTTGTAGATGGGGCCCTCGGCGTCCTCGTCGTCGCACAGCTCGAGCTCGCACGTGACGCGGATCTCGGTGCCCTGCCCCTCGGTGCTCCACACGTCGATCTTGCCGTTGAGCGCGGGCGACTGGACGATGCTGTTGACGATCGACAGGCCGAGGCCCGTGCCGGTGCCGTGCGGGTTCTCCTGGGTAAAGGGGTGGAAGAGCTGCTCCTCGAGAAAGGCGCGCGAGATGCCCCGGCCCGTGTCGATGACGCCGAGCTCGATGAGGACGTGCGTGTCCGAGCTCTGCACCTCGCGCAGCGACACGTGGACGTAGCCGGACGCGGTGAACTTGAGCGAGTTGCCAATCAGGTTCATGAGGACGCGGCGGATGCCGCCCGTGTCGCAGTTGACGAGCCAGCCGTCGGGTCGGAGCGAGATGTCGATGACGGTCTCGACCTGGCTGTTTTTGGCGTGCCTGGCGCGGGCCTGGACGTTGGACGCGGCGGTGCCCGGGGCGGCGAGCGCGCGCGAGTCGTCGGAGGGCGGCGCGTAGACGCTGCCGATGCCCGACTGGGCGCTTTCGAGCTGCTTGGCCATCTGGCCGATCCAGCTGCTCTCGCACACCTCCTGGATCAACTTGACCATGTCGCACTTGGTCTTGGTGTAGACGTGCTTCTGGCCCTGCCGGCTGTTGCCGCTGAGCTTGGTGAAGTCGAGCACGTGGTTGACGAGCTCGAGCAGGCTCTTGCCGCACGCCTCGACCGTCTCGAGGTACGAGCCCTGCGTGGCGTTGAGCTCGGTCTCGGTCAGCAGCTCCGCGGCCGCCAGGATGCCGTGCAGCGGCGTCCGCAGCTCGTGCGAGATGTTGGAGATAAAGTGGCTCTTGGCCCTGTCGGCGAGCATGATGTCCTTCTTGAGCACGGCGCTGAGCACAATCATGCCAATGGCGCGCAGGTACTGGAGCCCGATCCCCTTGATCTCCTCGAGCGAGTGGCCGCTCTCCGAGGCGGTCGAGTAGGCGCAGAGCAGGGCAAAGGGCTGCTTGTTGAGGCCAAAGATGGGCACCAGCAGTAGGTCCGTCACGCCCGACGGCAGCAGCGACCGGAACGGCGGCGGCGCGAATGGGTAGAAGCGGCCCGTCTTGTTGAGCCGCAGGAACTCGGCCACCTTGACGTGGTGCGCCAGCGGCACCGAGTCGAGCCGCTCCGCCGGGGGGGCGACAGCCTCGCTGGCGCCCAGCACGCTCATCGGCGGCACCACCTTGTCGCGCACGCTCTCGTCCGACGGCGACGCCAGCGGCGAAAACGTCTCGAAGCCCGTGGTGCCGTCGATGCCGGCCGAGTGGTTGCGCTGGTGGCCCTTTTTGGCCGGCGCACGGTCGCTGTCGCCGCGCTCCGAGGCCGCGAGCGACGGTCGCACCGGATTGGAAAAGTACACCTTGCTGGCGGTGCTCGCGCCGCCCTGGCCGCCGCCAAATTCGGCCGCCGGGCTCAGCTCGGACTCGTACGTGTCGATGAGCTCAAAGTGCGAGAGGTCAAAGATGACGGCGCCAGACGCCTGCAGCGCGTTGCGGATGCTGTCGGCCGCCTGCTCGAACACCCGGTGCGTGCCTGCCGAGCCGGAACCCGAGTCGCCGTCGCCGTCCTCCGAGTCCATCTCGAGGCACTCTTTGGTGAAGAGCTCGATCGACTTCTGCATGCGGTCGCGCATGCCGAGGTTGATCTTCTCGCGCAGCAGCTCCATCTCGCGCATCACGACGCGCGCAAACTCCTTGAGCGTGTGGCGCTGGCGGGGCCCGAACTCGGCGCGCGGGCGGTCGTCGATCAGGCACAGGCTGCCGATGTTGTGGCCGTCGGGCGTCCGCAGCGGGCAGCCGGCGTAGAAGCGGATGTCCGGGCTGCCCCGCACCAGAGGGTTGCCCGCGAACCGCCAGTCCCTGGTGGCGTCGAGGATGACCATCGGCTCGTCGCCGTCCTGCAGGATGGCGTGCGAGCAAAACGAGCAGTTGCGCGAGCCCGCCATGCTCTGCAGCGACGCGATCGTCACCTCGCCGCCGCCGCCCATCTCCGTCTGGAACGTCTGTTCGTTTTCGCCCACCAGCGTGATGAGGACCAGCTTCGAGTTGAAGACGAGCTTGACCAGGTGCGCGATGCGTTCAAAGTTGGGGTCGCCGGCGATCTTGGGCGGACCGTAGCGCGAGAGCGCCTGCAGCCGGTGCGACTCGTTGGGCGGCAGCACGAACGGCAGGTAGCCGTGGTCGTTGTAGAACTTCTCCGCCCGCCGGCCGGCGGCGAGGTAGGCGTTGATGCGCTGGCTCGTCGTCTTGGAGCCCAGCTGCGGCCGGCCGCGCGAGGCGGTGGCCACCGAGTTTTCCCGGCGCAGGCCCGACGACGACTCGGTGCCTTCCTTGGCCAGCGACTGCACCATGTTGGGCGGGCTGCTGACGTTGCCGCGCAGGTCGATGCGCGTCTCGCCCGTCGGCTTTCCCTCGGCAAAGTGCGCCACGCTGATCACAGGCGACGTGTTGTCCGCCACGGGAGGGCCCATGCTGTGGGCGGATCCGCTGCCGGAAGCGGTGGCCGTCACCGAGCTCACGCTGCCGATCGAGCTGAGATGAGGCACGACGGGCAGACCGTCGGGCCCGTTCGAGGACAGCGGCGAGCTGCGCGACGTGCCGGGAAAGCTCGCGCTGTGTCCGCCCTTGCGTAGGTGCTCGGCGGTGGGCTTGCGTTCGCTGCCACCTTCGCCACCGCGCTCGATGCTCGTCCTCCTCGCCGCCCGCCGCAGTCCCGCAACCGTACCATGCTCGGGCCCTGCATCGGCCGTGTACACCGTCCCATCCGCCGGCGCGGTTGACGACGCTTGGCGCGCCATGGCCTCTGCCATGCCCGATAGTCCATCCGGTGCCGACTGCCAGGTGACTGGCGGAGAGGCGTCGCCAGGACCACGCTGGACCGGTGTGGGCCCCGGTCTCGTCGGAGTCGTAGGATCCTCTGGTTGGACCCTTGATGGTGGCGGTGGCTGCTGCTGCTGCTGGTGATGCTGCTGCTCCTTTTGGAGCCAGGTGGCGCTTGCGGCCGAGTTGAGGCCCGTGGACCCAATCTCGCCGGCGGTCCGCCCGTCGGTGGCAGACGGCTCGGTATCCAGCATGAGATGGCTGATCTGCGTGCCGAGGCTGGGCCGTGACGGCATCTGATGCGGTGCCACGATGCTCGACAGAGCCTTGTCTGCCGCCATCAGCCGGGGCCGATCGGCTTGCTTGTAGGTCTCGGGTGGCGTCGAGATGCCCTTTTTCAGCTTCGGCGTGTCCCATATGGAAGCATCGGGCTTCGTCGACTCGTCGGCCTTGATTCCGGCCTGGTGTCCGGTCTTTCCAGTCAGGGAGCCTCCTTGAGGCGCGGTCTGGGCGCGGACCGGGGCATGGTCGCCGGAAGCGTCGGGTGGCATGTGCGCTGCCGGCACTTGCGCGACGGCCGAGGTGCTGTTCGACGGATTCCGCATCGCGGCGATCAGCTGCGCGTGCTGCTGCCGTGCAAAATCTGTCGACGACATGCTGCGCAGCGACGGCATCGTCATCCTCTCTGGCAGGCTTTCGATCGACTTTTCCGAAGGTCCCGGCGACATCTTGGTGCCGCCCTGCACTCCGCCGTCGGACCACTGCTGCTGGTCGTTGGGCAGGCTGCGGGGCTCTAGCGCAGGCAGGAGGCCGCCAGACACGGCCTCGACGTTTTCCGAGCTGAGCGGCATCACGTACTCGAGCGACGGTCGCCGCGGCTGCGGTCCTCGCAGGGTAGAAGTCGAGCGATCAGGAACCTTGCCGTTCTGCGGCTGGCCGGGGTCGACAATCTTGACAGAGGCGCCGGTGTAGATGGTCGACTGATCGGGAGGCTGCGGCGTCGCGCCAGGGTTCCATCGACCGCGAGCATAGGCGTAGACGAAGTTGGCCCAGTCATAGGCGCCCGCGGGCTGGGTCGGGAGCTCGCCGACGCCAAGACGGGCTGTTGGGACCGCCTCGGCCGAGCTCGAGGGGGTCGAGATGCTCTTCGACTCGGTGCTGGCGGATGCCGTCTCCTCCTCGGCGGCCGCCGCGGGCATGCTGAGCGCCGGAAGGTACGCAATCCCGCCCGGCGGGGGAAGCCCGTGCTGCCGCAGCTTGTCCCAAGCGGGCTGCGCCGAAGGCTGGCCTCGGTCGGGTCTCGTGGCTGTGCCGATCGCAGTGGTACGGTCATCGCCGCCATCGTCTTCGTCGATGTCCCCGTCTTCGTCAAGATCGAAGTCGGCGCCGAGAGCCTCGATGCCCATCGCGAACGCGTCGTCGGCCTCTGGCGAGGCTTCGCGGGTACCCTGCTGGCCCTGGCTGGACGAGCTCGGTGAGAGGTCGGAGCTCGACTTGGGCGTGGCGGCATAGCTTCGGCTGCTTTTGCCACCTCCCATGGCCCTCCAGGCTCCCCGGCGGGCAGGCCCAGACCCCGACACCGACGAGCGTGGCGACGACAGTGCGCTCTTGAGCTGGACGCGGTGATGCAGTGCGTCGTTGGAGCCTACGCTGCTGCCGTCATCGATGTCGAGGGCGTTGGGTCGGGTTGGATGCGACAGGAGCTGGGCCGAATTGCCGGCACTCGTCGAGGTGGCAGGGTTGGTGGTGCTGCGCGATGCTGCGTCATGGCCCATGACGCTGCCGCTGCCGGGGTGGGAGCTGGTCGAGGCGCTGGAAGGCGGACCGGGACGACGACCCGCTATCGTGTCGGCGTACATGTCCGGAGACTCCATTCGGTCTGATCAGCGGAGCGGCGACGAGCTACTCTGCGCCAGCGAGGGCACGGAAACCGCTGTGTGGGCTCGCGGACCCGGACTGCTTGGCTTTGACTTCTAGATCGCGCGTCGAACGGTGGGGTCAAAGGACTGGACGTGAGGCCCCGAGAGGCCAAGCTTTGCGCTGACGCGCAAGGCCGGTGGAGCGACGTCGAGCGAATGCCGCGGGAGCGACGAGGAGTCGAGAGGTTGGAAAACAATGGTGGACGGTCGCTAGCGATGGGATAAGGTCGTCCAGCGGGCCATGCCAGCTGGCGGAGCACTAGGACTCTGTTGGTCGTCGAGTCGGCGCGAGGTGGGCACTGCCAGCCTCTGAGCTGCTAAATATCCGAAAGCGATCAAGGCTGAGCTCGCGAGTCTCGGCAGAGGCTGAGCGGAACACTTTTTCAGCCGTCGTCGACCAGGGTGCCGTCGGCGTGGAGATGGCGTGGCGCGGGGGGGCCTAGGAGACCTAGATGACTGCAGTTTCAGGCGGTGCGATACGATGCCATCCACGAGGAGGGACGGTGGCAGGAGTGCGAGGATCAAGACTGGCGGGCCTGGCAGGTATGGTGAGGCCAAGGTCCACAGCGCGCGCTACGAGGTCGTGTATGAGCGTAGTTTGAGGCGAGCTGAGGTCGACGGTCTAATGCAAGCAAGACGAGCTGAGGTCGATGAGCTTCGGATCAGGCGATGCGTCGGTAGAAGAGTTGCAGAGAGGAGCGCAGACGGACAGGCAGAGACGAGGTCGAGACGGCGTTAAGAGCGAGTGCTGCTGCTGCGGCCAACCAGAGATGGTGACAGGGTGACGGGCGGGCGACGGGCGACGGGCGACGGGCGACGGGCGTCGTATTGCGCTACGGCGAATGGCTATACGGGGATGGTGATGCGAGGCGTGGTGGGGTTGTTGGGAGATGGAGACGAAGGAAGCCAAGAGGCAGGCAGGTAGGCCAAAGCCACCCTAGCTACCCTCTCTGAACCCGAGCCGCAAACCAGCCAGCCCGCCATCCCCCAACCCAGCCAGCCAGCCAAAGGTCCAAGCTGGGCTCCACACGCGGCGCACGCAGCCAACAGAGAGGGCGGGCAGCGGCGGGCAGCCAGGCGGGCAGCCCAGAGAAAATGACACACGCCGGCCACCAGCCGCAACGTAACAGAGAGCCAGCAACAGGCGCCCGATAGCCTGCCCTGCCCACCCACCCCCGCCCCGCACGCCGGCTGCCTGGCTGCTGCGCGCCAGCACCCACAACGACGTCAGCCTGCCGACGGGCGAGCGTCCGAATTGAATTTACGTAATTCCACCTTGCACCTCGACGGCCCGCGCTTCGTATTCCAACCTCGGCCGTCAATTTCAAACAACCCTGACCGGCGCAATTCAACCGCATGTCCGTCGCCCGCGCCGCAAAGGGCCGGCTTCGGACCCGGCACCGGCACTCGTGTGCAGCCAGCTGCCCCCTAGCTCTCTGGTCGCAAAGCCCCACCTGGCGTGACTGCCGTCCCCTTCCATCATGCCTCCCCGACCGCCATCGTGACTTGCCGAGAGACCGTCAGCTCTGGCCGGCCCCGGAGGGAGAGAGGGTCATGGCGATGGACGGCGACGACGTGCGGACGATGCGCGAGGGACGAGACGGTCTGGGCCCTACCTTGCTCGCCGGTTGGCTGGCGGGCTGGCGGGCTGGCGGGCTCTCCCTGGCCAGACGACGATTCGATGATCGCCGACGTGCTGCGCGCCGCTGCTGCACGGCGTGGCTGCGCTGGGCGGGCTGGTCCCCGATTCTCGGGTCGCCCCCATCAGGACGAGGCCAGGCCAGGAGGGCGGAAGCAAGCAGCAAGCAGCAAGCAGCAAGCAGCAAGCAAGGCATCGCCGACGTCGATTCGGGAGCGGGCCACGGACGCAAGTCAAGGCCTGTAAAAATCGGCCAGCGATCGGCCTGCCTCTGCCGTTGCTGGTTGGCCTGACAACCCTGCCGCCTTGCCTGCCGAGGCTGCGGGCCCGTCGCCACGCCCGCGCCATCGACCAACGACGGCCTCGACATCGATCTGCAGGCGGTGCCGTGCCGTGCCATGCCGACTTTATCTGATATCCCCATCGCCTCGCCCCGGCCGTACTGCAGCACCAAGCAGGCGAAGCAGGGCGAGGTCAAAGCACGCATCACCGAGAGGGGATCAGATCAGACCAGTCTGAGGGGCCCGACGGAGCACGACGCACCGGGCGGTCAGCAGCTTGGTTCGATCCATCGGTACGCCCGCTCGCAGCACCGCGCTTCTCGGGCAGAGGAGGTGGCATAGGAGATCGAGCCTCGGGTCTGGCCTCTGACGGACGCTCGTGGCGTCGAGCCAACGCAGGTTAGGTACGGTGGCCTGGCCAGACCAGCGGCGGAGCGATCACCGCGTGCTCTGCGCGTCGTTCGCCCAGCACGAGGGCATGGCAGCCCAGGCCAGGCCAGACCAGGCAGCGCGAGAGCGGGCGAGCAGGCGACGATGGCCGCAGCCGAGCTGGCACGCCACCTCCGCCTGCTTCGAGCCCCGGTCGAGCGCCTTCGCAGGCTCTTGCTGTTGCCAACGAGACCGAACGCGTGGCTGGCCAGGCCTGCCTGGCGGCGGTGCAAGACGGACGTACTCGCCGCGGGCCGTCGGATGGCATTCTGGTAAGTCATAGGGCTTCGGATCGGAGCCCAACACAGGACAGCTCAGCGCTGCGCGGCGCGGCACGGCGCGGCGCTGCAAACCTTTCCGTCCCGCGTATTTGCCGCTCCGTCTCTGCCTCAGAGGCTCGCCGGGGCCCCAAAGGGATCACATGGAGGCAGTATGCCCTCGTGGCGGTGGCGCTGGGAGCCCGCATCGGAACACGAAAGTCTTGCTCCCCGTCGCACAGCCAAGGCGGCTTTGGGTTCTCTGCTCAACGACAGGCAGAGCCCGATCAAGGTCCAGACCATTCAGTTGGATCGACAGACGCCGACGCGGCGCCTCACTCTGTCGGTCAGGCCTGGCCGGCTATGAGTAAACGAGCGCCGATAGTTTTGAGACTGGCGCTCACTAGCCTGCGTAGATGCCCAAGAGGCGTCCTTGCGCAGCAACGTCCGCTCCGCCTGCCTGGCCACGTCGTCGTCGTCGAGTGCCATCGATGGCGTCGGTGTCGGAGCGTTCGTAACCTCGACCCATGCTCTGGTCTCCTGGACCTCTCCTGCGACAGCTCACCGACACTCTCCTTTGACGACAGCCGTTCAGCTCGAGCTGTTCGCCCTCGTGCGATGATTCGAGGTACGGTGACGAGGCTGAGCCCCGTCGTACGTGACCAAGTTTGGCCGACCATCGGGCGTGTCCCTCCTCCTCTCTGTTGGCCGGAGCCGTTGAGGTTCAGCCTCGGTGCGTCACAGCTGGGAGGAAAATACGAGGTACGGCGGTGTGACGGGCCGCCGACGTCCTGCGGGCAACCAGGAGCAAGAAACGACAAACGAGACCCGCCAGCCTGACCCCGTTGCTACGCCTGGGCACGAGACAGGGTACCGTTCTCGGCTTTCAGAAGAGGGAGGCAGCTGATTGGCGGATGCAAGATTCGCGAGGCACGAGGGAGAGATTCGTTCGACCACGATTACGGCTTGTCGGCAGCGACGCCGGTGGCGAGTACGTACTGCTCGACGCGCCGCCACCCGAGCGTGGTCGCCGTGCGAAGACGATCGGTTCTTTTGTTCCGTTCCGTCGTCGGGCTTTATCAGCGAGCAGGAGCTAGTAAACCCGCTTACGTCGCGACATCGTCCAATCAAAGCGTTCTTCGAACGACAGTCGCCCCAATTGTACCGTGAAGGGAGAAGGGGGGCCCGTTCGACATCCCGAGCCGATTTTCACCGCCCAAGACACGAGGCTGGACTATGGGGCGTCCGCCAAAGACGTCGTTTATTCAGACGATATTCGCCAGTCGTCCCCTTGGGGGCTCAACTCTTTGCTGAACCTGACGGTCGCGACTACCACCTATCGTCCCTTGCTGCGCACGCAGCACCTATCGTACTTACTCGCCCCGCAAACTTGCAGTCGCTGTTGCGGCTGGCTTTCTTCGACGCCATCGTGTGCCTGCCTCGACCACGGACAGCGCTGGACGCCCTTCCTTCCTTGCCACTTCGTCCCTAGACTGGAGATCGAACGAGCGACGTTGGCAGCGCGTCCCGCCATCGCCATGAACGCACAGGGCCGAAAGGCAAGCCCATCTCTACCCTGGCTGCCACGCCTCCGACCGGGGCGAACGCTGCAGCATTGCCGCCACCTAGCGCTCCCGGAACCCGCGCAAGGTCGCCCTGGCATGCTCGCAACACGACTCTCGATCAGCGGGCCTCACGCTACACTTGTATCACTCACTCTCACTCTGTGCCTTTGTCGTCGCCATGGCCGACCGACCTGAAAGCGGTCGAGGTCACGATGTCCCGGCAAAAGGCGGGGCAGTAGTCTGATTGGACCTGCACGGTGTCAGGCGACAAAGCTGTTAGACGCCATCCCGTAGCGAGGGCCGGCTGGCCGTATGCATGCCGTCCAGGAGGAGCAAGGAGCTGGGGCTCGGCGATGGTCGCGATCGCTGTACTCGAGGGGCCCCTTCATTCAGGGGTCAAAAGTCGGGGCTGCCTTGCTTGGCCGGTTCAGATCCATCTCCATTCCCGGTGCAACGTGGCTGGGAGCTCCGAGAGAGCCGGGCAGGTGGATGCGTGTGCACTTACGCGTGCGCGTGTGTAGGGAAGGGCAGGCTAGGGCAGGCTGGGTAAGGTAGGGAGGGGGGCGCCGGCGTCGCTCGAGCGACGGGGGGCCACCTCGCCAACGGTCGGCTCGAGGCAGCTGAGATGGAAACACGGAGGCGGACAGGGGCTCGCGCAGCAGTCAGAGGTTCTTGGCGTACGGAAACAGCAGCAGCAGCTAGCATCGCATGGAAGCCACGCACGCACGAGCGACGGTGCGCCGACAGCGGTCCACAGCAGGCAGGGCGGGCAGGCGGGCAGGCGGGGGCGGAGGGGCGTGGCGCCAAATGGGCCGCCCGAAGCCAAGTACCTGTACGTCGAATACGACCGCCTCGAGCAACCGTTTCTGGAGCCTTCTTTCGCGTGCAGGGCCTGTATTGGACCCTCGTATTCAAGACCTGAAAAAGGGGAAAGCTGGCGTCGAGGCCTTACCCCCTCACTGCCTAGGCGGGCCTGGCCTGGCCTGGCCTTGGCTGGCTGTCTTGGTACCTTGCTTGCTTGCCTCGCCTGCCCCCCTGGCCAGGCCAGGCAAGCGCCGCTCAACGCAGTCTGGCATGGGCGGGTGTGGCCTCTCCTGTCCTGTCCTCCTAGCCTGACCCACCTCTTCCTCTCCCCGACTGCTCGACGGGTCATCCGTTTTGCGACCACCCACCATTCAGCCCTGCCCTCGCTCACGCCGTGCGTGCACCAGGCAAGCAAGGCAACACCCGCTCGACTGGGCAGCTCGCACCTCTTCCGACGAACGTCCGCCAACAACGTAACAGGCAAGCAGCCAGACCGGCTTTCAGATCAAGTCATCCAGGACCCCTCTTCATCGCCGCCTTGGCCACCGCCTCTACCGGCCCGTGCACCTGCCATCGTACAGGGAGCGCCCCCTCTCTAGCTGCCGGTATATAACGCCATCAGCCAGGTCTGCCCCTTGGTCGACTTCCCCTCTTCCGCGCACCACCACGCTCGACGATCAACCCGCCCAAGGCCCGACTGACTTGTCCACCACCCAACGGGGCCGCCACGCCCACGCCCTTTTCACGACATCCCTTGACGACCCCGCGCACCCGGGCAGCTGGCTCCTGGACCTACACTCTACAGGAATCCGACACTCTACAGGATTCATCGGTCTCGACGCAGCGCCTCTCTTCCGTCCGCCACGCTTTTGGCACCTCGCTGATCCTCCAGTCCGCCGCCTGCCATGGCCAACATGCGCTTCCTCGTGGCGAGGGCCGCCCAGAGCGACTCGGTCCTTACCGGCGTCGACCCCACCGAGTTCAACTCGGGCAATCCGATCCGCCTCTTCATCATCCAGGCCGCCATCATCATCGTCTTCACCCGCATCCTTGGCTTCTTTTTGCACAAGATCAAGCAGCCCAGCGTCATTGCCGAAGTCATTGGCGGCATCCTGCTCGGCCCGACGGCGCTCGGCCGGATCCCCGGCTTCACCGAGCACATCTTCCCCAAGCCCTCACTGCCCTACCTCAACCTCGTCTCCACCCTCGGCCTCACCCTCTTCCTTTTCCTCGTCGGCCTCGAGGTCGACGTCCGCGTCATCCGCCGCAACGCCAAGGAGTCGCTCACCATCAGCGTGGCCGGCATGGTGCTGCCCTTTGGCCTCGGTGCCGCCGTCTCGGTGGGCATCTACAACACCTTCATCGACAAGAGCTCGGTGTCGTTTGGCAACTTTGTCCTCTTTGTCGGCGTGGCGATGGCCATCACCGCCTTCCCGGTGCTGGCGCGCATCCTGACCGAGACCAAGCTGCTCTACACCCGGGTCGGCGTGCTCACGCTGGCGGCGGGCGTCGGCAACGACGTCGTCGGATGGATCCTCCTCGCCCTCACCGTTGCCCTCGTCAATGCGTCGAGCGGCCTGACTGCGCTCTACATTCTCCTCTGCACCGTCGGCTGGGCCGCCTGCCTCTACTTCCTGGTCAAGCCCGCCTTCACCTGGCTGGCGCGCAGGACCGGCAGCTTTGAAAACGGGCCCAACCAGGTCATGATCATGGTGACGCTGCTGCTCGTGCTTGTCAGCGCCTGGATCACCGACATCATCGGCGTCCACCCCATCTTTGGCTCGTTCCTCGTCGGCCTGATGGTGCCCCACGAGGGCGGCTTCGCCATCGCCCTGACCGAGAAGATGGAGGATCTGGTCGCCGTCGTCTTCCTGCCCATCTACTTTGCCCTCTCGGGCCTCAAGACCAACCTCGGCGACCTCAACTCGGGCACCGCGTGGGGGTACACGATCGCCCTCATCTTCATCGCCTTCTTCTCCAAGTTTGTCGGGTGCGCCGGCACCGCCCGCCTCTTTGGCTTCAACTGGCGCGAGTCGGCCGCCATCGGCACCCTCATGTCGTGCAAGGGCCTCGTCGAGCTCATCGTGCTCAACATCGGCCTCTCAGCCGGCATCCTCGACACCCGCGTCTTCTCCATGTTTGTGCTCATGGCCGTCATCTCGACCGTCATCACCACGCCCTTGACCCTCTGGATCTACCCGGAGCAGTACCGCACCACGCTCGACGACCACGGCGCCCACTCGCACCACGGCAAGTCGATCCTCGGCGGCGGCGGCGACGACGACGGCAGCAGCAGCGGCGACGGCGGCAGCAAGGGCGCCAAGAAGCTCTTGGTCGTCCTCAGCAGCTTCGAGCACCTCCCGGGCCTCATGACGCTCGTCCAGCTGATGCAGCCCTCGCTTGCCTCGGCGACGGCGCCGGCAGTCACCGACGGCGGCCTTCGCAGGCGCCACCACAAGGAGTCGAGCGGCAGCGAAAAGGGCGCCGAGGCCGACTTGGCCGACTCGAGCGAGGGCTCGATCAAGGACGAGGCCGACCACGACGCGATCCAGGGCACCCCGGTGCTGTCCTCGGGCGCGCCTTACGCGTCTGCCGCCGCAGCCCGTCCGGCCGACATCAGCATCGACGCTCTCAGGCTGGTCGAGCTGACCGATCGCACCTCGGCCGTCATGAAGGTGTCCGAGTCCGAGGACACGATGCGCGCCGACCCCATCATCAACGTCTTCAGCACGTTCGCCCGCCTCAACGGCCTCCCCGTCTCGTCGTCGATGGCCGTCATCCCGCAGGACGAGTATGCGCCCACGGTCGCCAACCGGTGCCGCATCACGGCCTCCAACTTCATCGTCCTGCCCATGACGCTGGGCCAGTCCATGTCTACGTCGCAGCAGCAGGCGGCGCTGCAGCAGTCGACGACGCTGCCCAACCCCTTTGACGGCATCTTTGGCGCGCGGCCCGCCAACGCCGACGGCAAGCAGCAGCGCTACTCGCCGCACCACTTCAACTTTGTCCGCCGCATCATCCAGACGGCCGAGACCGACGTCGGCCTGCTCATTGACCGCAACGTCGCCGCTTCCTCGGGCTACTCGGCGGCCGGCCACGGTCCGCTGGCCCGCGTTGCCCGACCCAAGCACATTGTCCTGGGCTTCATGGGTGGGCCCGATGACCGCGCGGCGCTCGAGCTCATCACGCGCCTGTGCGGCTCCAACAAGTCACTGTCGGCCGTCGTGCTGCGCTTCCAGCGTATCTCGCCCGAGGACGCGGGCGAGTCGGCGCTGCCCGCCGTCCCGCCGACGATCCACCACGAGCTCTCGCTGCCACAGCACACGACGCGCTCGGGCGCCAACAACGCCGACACCATGTACCCGACCCAGTACCAGCAGTCGGCGCTTGAAGCGACGCTCGAGGACGACCTGGCCGTCAAGCGAGTCGAGCAAGAGATCGAGGCGGGACGCTACGACGGACGCATCCGCGTTCAGGACGTCAGCACGGCGCGGCCGCTGCGCGACCTGATCAAGGCGGTCGAGGTCGAGCAGCCGGCCATTGTCATGGTGGGCCGCGGCCGCCGCCAGCCGACGATGACGCACCGCGACGAGCTCAAGCACCTGCTCCTGCACGGCGTCGACCAGGACGGCGCCACTGCGGCCACGACGCCTGCTGCCGAGTCGTCGCGGGAGGCGGCCAAGGACCGCGCCATCGACTCGGAGACGTGCAAAGTGATCGGCGAGCCCGCCATGGCGCTGACCATGGCCACCTCGTCGGCGAGCACCCTCGTCATTGCTGCCGGCTTCAACATCTCGGCCCGTCAGCTTCCGGCTTGAGGAGGAGGGCCTGCGATTCCTTGCCGACATGGCCGAGCGGCCGGCAGCCGACTGCTGGCTCGTCGCCTGCCGCTGCTCTATTTCCCCTCGTCGACTTGCCTCGATCCGGCTGTGCTCCCTTGACCTAATCGCTGGGGCCGACGCCGCGCCGATGCGGCCATCGGCGGCCACCACATTGCTCGATACGACTTTCACGGACGCTCATCTCTCTCCATACCACGACACGACAGCCACGGCCTGGGGCCCTCGCCCTTCCATAGTCACCTGATGTAATCTCTTCCGCACACCCTTGCTCGGCGTCTACGATATCATACCTTCCTCGCGATCGCGATTCCGAAACTACCATCGATCGACGACGACGACGACTAGAGCCTGGCTCTGGACGCGGCGTCGTTGTCGTCGTCGAGGAAAGAAGTGATGGCGCGGCTCCAGGTGCGGGTGTCGAAGTAGTCGTACCAGAAGTGGGCGAACTCGGATCCCTGGGGTGGTACGAACCTGCGGGCGTGCGGGATGCCCTTGACGATGTAGTCGGACTCGGAGTAGGACACCATCCTGTCGCGGTGTCCGTGGATGACGAGGACGGGGAGAGTGGATGGGATGCGGTGCAGCTGCTTGCGCACATCGCATCCCTGGATGGCAAAGAACTGCGATGCGATAATCTCGGCGGGTTGCCTGGTGACCGGGGGGCGGGGCGGAGGGGAGGATGAGAGGACGCACAGCTGAGCATGCTTAGAGGGAGCGCGAAAGAGAGCAGCGGAAGGGGGGAAGGACCGAACGTACCTGGTACCGAGCGAGACTTGAATGCGATCCTCGAACTTCTTGTACAGCTCGGTGCCTGGCCGCAGCGCGTCGGCGTGGTACTGCAGCCGCATCATCTCGGTCGTGATGTAGAGGTCGCGCTCCTGTTTGCCCTTGATCTTGGCGGCGCTGCGGGGTCGTCGAGCATGGGCGGCAGCGGCAGCGTATGGTCAGCATAGTGACGTGGCCTGAAGGGCTGCGCTCACACTCACGCATTCTGGATGGCCTGAAGGTCGGCGTCGCCGTGGGGCAGCTTGGTCATGGTGGCGGTAAGGACGGCCTTTCGGATCTCCACACCCCTCACCTCGACGCCGCCGCCGCTAGTCTTCTTGCCCTCCTCGATAGAGATGAGCGCCTGGGTGATGTGGCCGCCCATGCTGAATCCGAGGAGGTCGACTTTGGTCCAGCCGATGCTGGCGAGGAGGGCGACGAGGTCGAGGCCCATGCTCTCGATGGTGAGGTCGTGGTCCCAGTCGTCGGGCACGGTCGATGCGCCGATGCCGCGGTGGTCAAAGATGAGCACTTTGCGCGACTCGGCGAGCGACTCGACGAGGGGCGACCAGTGCTCCATGACTGCCGAGAGGCCGTTGATGAGGACCAGAGGCACGGCGCTGGACGACGACGAGGACGACGACAAAGGAGCGTGGATGCGGTAGCCCAGGACGGCGCCGTCGCTCGTGGTGAAATGCTGCGTCTGGACCATGGTCGACGCGGGCGCGATGGGAGAGAGCAGGGACAGAGAAGAGGGGCGACGGTATGCAGAAGGCAGGGCAAAGCGATAGGGATGATGGTGGTGGCGGTGGAAGGTGGTAGGCGAGTTACCCCGCACTTTGGCCACCTCGAACCGGCGGTCGGCTTCTTGTCGGATCCCGGAGGCAGGGCCGTGATAGCGGGGACGCGGCTGCCTGCCCCCACGCTGCTTAGTCAGCATGCTGTTCCCTGCTCGCCGCCGCTCCACATCCAAAACTGGTGGCCACGCAGCGTTCCGCACTTTGCTTCGATCCCGCCACCACCACCACCACCACCGTCGCCATCGCTGCCTTCAACGTTCCCAGCGTCCCTTTCATCAAGAGCATCCACCCAAGCCTCGCTGCACTAGACCGCATCCTCGCGAGCGCTACGGATACACACACGCCGCGGCTCACACCTCTTGCGCTCGCACTCCTGTCCTGCTTGTCCCTCGAAGCGCGCCCTCCAGGACCCTCTCGCATCCCCACGTACAGCCAGCATGGACGCAGACGGGTAGGTCGCACCCTCAGAGGGTTTAGCTGCGTCTTTTCATGCCAACAGCTGACCCTTTCCGACGCCACATCCTTCCCACCTTCCCGCGATCGACAGAATCCAGCTCTATGAGCGTGAGCACCCCCGCGCTACACCCCGGCTCGTGACGTATCGCGACGATGACTGACCCAACCGCCATCTCCTCCATTTCACACGCATGCCTTTCGAAACCTGCAGACCAGCTAGCGCAGGTAGAGTCAGCCCTGGCCGCAGACCCGTCCAACGCCGAGCTCCAGAACCTGAGAGATGAACTCGTCAACCTCATCAATCTGACCAAATCCCTTCAAGGCGGCGCTGGCGCTGATGGAACAGACGGCTCCGGCTCCAGCGCAAACGTGGCAAGCTCCTCGACAGCCCCCGTAGTACCAGCACCAGCAGCAGCAGCGGGCCCTTCGACTCACAGGCAGTCGGGTGGCGCACCAGCAACCACGCACCACTTTGCTGCAGGCGATGACGTCTCGGCGAGGTACGCTGTGAGTTTCAGCACTCCCCGCCATTGCGCCGCATCATGCCCGAAAGGCACGCGGGACCGACTGACCATGCTTCTGCTCCTCTATTCCATCCTCGCACGTCCCTTGGACCCATAGGAGGATGGCCGATGGTACCCGGCCCGTATCGTGTCTGTGGGCGGATCCTCGGACCACCCGGTCTACTCGGTCATCTTCAAAGGCTACAACAACACCGAGATTGTGACAGCAGCCGACCTCCGCCCGTCCAAACCTCGCACCGCCGGCACCTCTTCGCCGGCCACGGCCGCCTCTGCCACTCCGACTACCGCCTCGTCCTCGTCGGCGTCTCCAGCCCCAGCATCATCGTCATCGGGCACCAACAAGAGGCTGACGCCCGCCGAGGAAGAGGAGCGCGAGCGGAAACGCAAGCGCAACGAGCGCAAGACGGAAAAGCTCGCGGCCAAGCAGGCGGCACAGGTGGACAAGCAGGCGGCCTGGCAGAAGTTTGCCAAAAAGGGCGTCAAGAAGGGCGTCATCCCGGGCCAAAAGAGCATCTTCAAGACGCCCGACGACCCGTACGCCAAGGGTGAGTGTGGACCTTGCTTCAGCCACGAGCTGCGCCCGAACCGCCTTGAGTATGTCCTGATCTGACCCGGAGCTTCGTCCTCGCGCTGCGGTCTGCTGTCACAGTCGGCGTCGTTGGCGGCGGCAGGGGCATGACGACCTACAATTCGCGCTCCAAGCACGTCTACGACGGCAGCGAGGGCGGTCAGTCCTGAGCCGAGCTTGCCGCTCGTAGTACGCGCTCAGGTGCGACGACGGCCTGCGGCCCGCTACAGCCGATGGCCCCACCTCACTACTGTGGCAACCCACACCGTTCGGGTCGGCAGTTGTCTGGCTGAAGTTGGGAACGCCAGAAGCTACATAAGTGGCGACTCATACAGTACAATGCTTGGCTTCCACGCCATCGTTGCACCGACGTTGGGCGTACTTGCATGGCCTGGCCTTGACCTTGCAGTTGCCGTGCCGGCAGACAAGGGCGTTTTGTCACCTGTATCCCTCTGCCCCGCTGCCATCGTGGTGGGCTGCCATCCCCGGCCAGGCAGGCAGGGGCTTCTGACACTTCCAGCTCACCATGCTTCGTCCTGCATGTACTTGTGGGGGCACGATCGATGCCATTGTCCGTCCGTCGGTCTGCACTCATACAAACTAGGGTTTGAAGGTCGACCCGGCGACGGCGATAACCGTGGAGCAAGAGCACAAGCTGCAACGCGGCTGTGCACTCCATCCCGGTCCGTCGTGGCTCCATAACGAATCCATGCCGTGCTATCCGACACCGTCTCGGCCCAAAGAAGAGCGCTCGGCCCGTCGTCATTGCCCGGAAGGGAATTCATAGATACCCCTGCCGCTGGGCCGTGCCAAGACCATTGTCTGCGTCGCGCCCACACGCCCACACGAGAAAGGGGCCCGATGCCACCGCAGAAGGCGCTCCTAGGTCCGCTCGCGGTGGCTCCGCGTTCACGGGGCGTTGGGGATGACGAGGGGGTGGGCACGCTCTCCGTGGCTTCCGGTGGGCTGCCGTCTGGCCTGGCCGGGCCGTGCCTCGGTTTCGAGTGCCACGTACCTATATAAGCGGTGCGGCCGTCCCCGTCCTCGTCCTCTCCCTCGACCCTCGACACCAACCGCCCCACTTGCACGCGCGCACACCACCGCACACACCTCCGCACAGCACACCAAGGCTCCATCACAACCACCGCACACGACGATCGACATGCTCAAGTCTACGCTCTCGACCCTCGTCGTCCTCTCTGCATTCGTCACGACGGGGAGCAGGGCAGCGCCGCCGACGTCGGGCTTCACGCAGGTGGGACACCTGAAGTGTGCCCAGCCCAGCGCCGACCTTTGGGTCCTCGAAAGCACCTCGGACCACGAGCTGTACCTCTACGGCGAGACCAAGGGCGACCTCGGCCTATCGCTCGTCAAGACCGCCACGGGCGCAGTCGTCGCGGGCCCCCTGATCCCGTCGAACCAGGTCAAGTGCAAGCAGGTGTCGCCCGCCGCGCTCCAGGCGTGCAGGGACCTCGACTCGCGCCTGCACCCGACGCAGAAGGAGAGCGACGGCAGCAGCAAGTACACGCTCAAAGGTGAGGATCCTTTGGCGCGCAGGCGCTCGGTCCGGCTTCGCGAAGGTGTGGAGCAGGCGATCGACTGACAGTCGCCCTCTTGTTGCGCCCCTTCCTTGTCCTGAATCGTGCTCACCGCAGTCGATGCTACCGTCCACGGGCTTGGCGCGGTCTGATTGCGCTTGACCGGACACATTCGAGCGGCCGGCGATCAAGACCCAGCAGCGCTCTCACGCAGCCATGACCGGACCACGGCATTGAGCCGACGACTGCTTGGCCTGCTTCATCGCTCGCCCCTGTCCGCTCCGCTACGCTATCCATGTCATGTTGACGAGAATGATGAGCTATTCCGCGTGGTGACTGAAGCAAATCCGCCTGCGTGTACGTCGACATCCGTCGACCTGATCTTCTTGGCCAAGCAGAGTGCTCTGGCAACGGCCCAACCGCACGTGTCGCTGCGACGTCGCTCTCCAGCTCCGCTCCCGATGCGGAACGAAGCATGTCCTCGAGACTTGTATGAGGCAGCGTTGAGGTGGTCGCTGCGGGCCCAGCATGCAGCCCACCGGCCGTCTTCGGCGAGCACCGTTCCCCGGTCGACCACCCGGCGAGAGAGGACCAGAGCGGTCTCAAACGAAGGCAGCTCGTCGTTGCTGGTGCAAGTCGGGCGGTTCCCTATGTGCCTCGCTTCGCTCGTACCCTTCGTCCGTGACTGCTAGCAGCGCGTGAAGTGTCCTACTACTGCGGGTAAGGCTGCACGACGGCCGAAAGGGACCCGACCCACGCGATCCGTCCGTACGCTTGGGCTTGGAAGTGGGAACGTGCTCGCTGCTCTGCACCAAGGAGCCTTGATAGTGCGCAGACAAGGTTTAGCAACCATGACAGGGGACCCGTCAGTCTCAAACCCTCTACTGTCTGACTTCGGCGTCACCGACTGCAGACGTGGTGGGTCTTTCAGCTGTCAGGATGTCCGCCCGTGGCCAGGGTTCCGCAGTCAGCCGCCAAGACGTCCGATGTCGCGCCACATGTACACATACGTACGTACACATGTATCCATACTTTGAATCAGCTTGCCCCTTGGGCCGCTCTCGGGCCGGAGTATGGCAGAGGTGCGGCTTCAGCGGCCGCACTCAGCAGGCAGCCTGGCAAGACAGCTCGACGAGGTCGATCCTCTCGTCACGACGGCCGCCCCGGTCTTACCTCTTGCAGCCATGGCCATACTATCCTCGTCCTTCTCTCAGGTCGCCCACATTTGGTCCATATCAGGTGGGGCCGTCCGCTTACCACGGAAGCAATATACAGTACTCGATTGTGGGCAGGGCCGGTGATATGACGATGGCTCCGATCTAGAGCAACTCCTGGCCTCACAACGACGCTGGGCCGAAAACGTTCCGACAGGCACATAATCCCTGCGCCATGCTGTAACCAGTCGACCGAAGCCCCCTTAGCAGAGCATCCCGTTGTGGAAGTCGCCAAAATAGGCGTTGCATGCTACGACAAAGGCTCGGCGGCGTCTGTTATCGCATTTAACCTAAGATGGTGCTCCTGCCGTCGTCTCATCGCGTAGCATCTCGGTCGACCCCCCACGACCAATCTGCTGCCCACATGGCCCAGTCATGATGACTCAAATCGGCTCGGAAGCTCGCAAGATGGAACATGCTGCTACCACCGAAGCTCATGGCTTGTGCTGATTGCGTTAGGGGACATGACAACGACGGCCGCCGACACGTCGCTGTCGACATGCATTCTTGGCAGACTCTATCGCTCGGCTCTCCCTCGGACGTCGGGATGAAGCGTAAGCTTCGTCGGATAGCCCCGTGCAGAAGCAGGGCGAGGAAGAGGTAGAGACTTGATTTCGCGAGCAGGGGCGATCAGGGCCGATCCTCTTTTTCACCGCCTCGCAGATGGGCTCCGCCAACGTACGGCAGCCGCTGGCAGGACCGAGCCCATGAGCGAAGGAAGAAGCAGCTGTTCACGGTCGGGAGATGCAGGTGCTCCGTCCCGAGGGCAAGCCGTTGGACGCTCAACCCTCTCGAGTCGCGGTCCAGCGTTCTTGTGAAGGACAGCGCCAGCTTCGGTCAGCCATGGCGACGAGGTCGAAGGCTTAAAAAGCGGGACAGCGCTCCAATGTCGACTGCCCTTCTTCCGTCCCTGTCAATCACTGTTCCTCACTGCTCCCATCGTCTCTTAACCACGAACCCCAGCCTACGCTCCATCATGCGGTACTCTCTCGTCTCTCTCTGCGTCTTCCTCGCCCTTCCCCTGGCAGCGATGGGTGCCAGCGACGACCAAGGCTTCTCCAAGATCCGGGAGGCTCCGATCGGACCGACTGGTAAGATCGTCGGCCATTTGCAACTGTTCCAGAAGGGACAGGGTGCCTTTGTTTCGGCCGACTTCGACGGCGACATCAAGGCCGGGGGCCTCGACCGCAATCCCAGCTGGCAACTCGTCGACAACTCGAACCCGAGCAATCCGGTGGTCGTGTTTCGCAACTCTGCTGGGCCCGGGCCCTCCCACGTCAAGCACAGCTGCGCCGGCGAGAACCCGGTGGCGAAGTGTTGCGAGTGGCTCGCTGGAATCGGCCCCTCGGTGGATTACGTAGTCAGAGGTGAGTCGACCCGACAGAGGAGACGGAGAGTGCATGTCGGAACGTCGACTGAACCTAGACTGCTCTGCCGACCCCACTGATGCTACCTTCATGCGCAGTTGGTACCTCGACCGGCATCAACTCGTACCATGTGGACAGGGAGTTCACTTTCCCTCCCCCCACTAATGGCCGCCGACATGAACGCGTTTGATAGATGGCCCTTGTCGCCCTGACCTCATCCCAAACCCCTCACACGAGCGTGAAGTCCTATGATGAGCGTGCCACACCTTGTCTGGACAACCGCACCATGATCCGCGACGATGATATACGACCCGGAAACATGGATGCTCAGTCGATGATCACGCAGCATCTTGCCAGGACGACGATCGATCGCACGGTGGACTCGTGCTGATTCGCACAAAACTGACTGTATGGGAAGAGCGCCCTGCGGTCCTCGGTTTGGATGTGAGGGAGGTGCCCATCTCTGTGCCCGATTACAGAGCAGTCCGAGGCGGATGGGAGCCCGGGGAGGGGTAAGGGCGGGGGAGGAAGGAGGGGTGCAACACCGTCGATGGGGCGCGACGTACACTCACAGCATGGGGTTCCGGGCCGGTCCGGCGTGCCAGGCCACGTCAAGATAGCTCGCTTGCTGGTCACGTTCGGCTGGGTCCATCTGACCAACCCGGTCGACGTACCCTACGCAGTCCAACCGGAGGCGTCGCTCTGCGCAAGATGAAAGCCAGCGCCGTGTCAATGTCGTTGGGCTGAATAATGGCCAGGACATCGACCCACTTTGCTCGATCGATCTGGTCTTTCCGCGTCGATGGAAAGGGTCTCCAGCCGACGCAGTGAAATCCACTTACAGTATCGCCCGCGGCGCCGCCGATTCACAAAGATCGAGCTTTTGTCGATTCTCGGCGTCCGACCTGCTGACCTCGGCATGCCGGCAACGCGTCGGAGATCCCAGTCGAGGCAGACTTCGACACCACTCTCTCACGGACAGCAGCTTGTCGAATCCGCTGGGCATCGCGGACAAGGTCAAAGGTATAAAGCGCGACGTGGGGCACCGCTTGCTCCCGTGTCCTTCACCCCTTCTCTTGTCCATCCACACCTGGCCCCCGCTCCACGAGCCTGTCCAGCCTCCTCTTTCACGATGAGAACCTCTCTCGCCTCGCTCAGCGTCCTCCTTGCCTTTCCTCTGACAGCCATCGGCGCTGGCAGCGATCAGGGGCTCAAACCATTCAGGTGGGTCCGGATCGGCAGGCCCGGACAGGGTGTGGGCCACATCGAAATAAGCCAGGCGGGACAAGGCGCGTTCATAAGGCTCCGACTCGACGCGCGCATCCAAGGCGCGCCCGCCGATCCCAGCGTGAAACTCCTCGATTACACCAACCCAGGCAAGCCAGGTGTCGTGTTCTCCGATCCCGCCGGTACGGGTGCCTCGGGCACCACGCACAACTGTCAGGCCTCCACCTCGATGGTGAAGCTTTGCGAGTGGATCGCCGGCGAAGGCCCCCACACGGATTACAGACTCAACGGTACGTGCTCGATGCTCAACAGGGTGCCCGACCGCGAGCGCCTGTCATACCGCCGACTGATGCCCGCGAGCTCCCTTGACCCCCGGGGCGCGATTCCATGGGCAGTTGGAACCTACACCGGCGTCAACGAGTACCCGGTGACCAGGAACTTCGCCTTCCGCGGCGGTATCCCTTAGAACGTGGCGGGCGCTCCGACTTACCTTGCTCGTGCCCTCGCGACGTGCCAGGCTAGTCACCCATCAAGAGAGCGGCGCAGCTGCCCACCCTGTAGTCGTTTTGCTTTCCCATCTCGCACTTGCGGCGGCCTTGCCGCACAAACAGCACCGCGACTCGCTACAGGACGTAGAAACCTAGAGCAGATTGCTTGCAACCCGAGTGGGCTCGAAAAGGGGATTCGACGCCGAGACAAAACTCTTGCTTCGCCTGCACTATCGGTAGATGATCATCGACGCCTACTGACTTCGCGCTCAATCGCCCTAGACCGGGGAGTGTGCAACGGCCTGCGCTGTCGATTGGCACTGCGAGTGCGGCGACCGCTGGCAGAAGTCACCTGAGAGTGCACGTAATCTGGCCGGCACGGCGGAGGCAAGATGGGCCCTGGACGAGGGCAAGGGCATGCAGTGGCCCAAAGCTAGCGGCAAGGTGCAACTTGTGCATGGCGGGTTTCGTGCGACACGGCCGACACGGCGACGTCGAGGCGGCCACGGGCGCTGCGCGGTCACACGACGTCCTGGTCGACGTACTTGGCAACGGCTCGATCGAATTCGGATCGGCTGAAGATGCCGTCGTCGTCGTCGTCGGACTCCTTGATCGTCTTTTTGGGGTGCTGTTGCCGGAGCCAACGCTGCCGTTCGGTCGAACTGGCGCGGGAGGTGATGATGAGCTGCTGCTGCGCCTGCTGGATCTCGGGACAGTCCGGGCGGAGGAGCCAGGCCATCTCCAGATCCTGAGCCGCTTGGTCGAGCTGGCCAAGCCGTGCGCGAGCCTCTGCGGCCCGGAGGTGCGCCTTGGCACGCAGTCGATCCATCTCGCGCTTGTGGTCCGCTTCGAGGCGATGCACGATGTTGTCGGTGGAAGCACCAGAGGCGGTGGAGCCCCTGCCGGAGCTCTGCGACATGAGGCGGGCCTCGAGATCGATCCTTGTCTCTTCCTCGCGTCGGATGCACGTGAGCGCGATCTGCGCGTCCTCGAGCGAGCGGCTGAAGCTGGCGGGCGACAGTGGACAGACACCAGACCGGATGGAGCTGTCAGCGTGACACTCCGACGGCGTCGGTAGTCGGGAGATCGACTGGAGCGTACAGGTGCAGGTCAAAGGCCACGAGCGAGCGATTGAGGTAGAGGGCCTCGTCAAGGTGGCTCAACTTGATGCTGATAGACGGGGCATGCGTGAAGGGTCCGTCGATCGGCGATGTCAGCCCTCAAAGTCTTTGTGCCAGGGTACGCGAGCACCGGCGACGCCCAGCGTGCTCACCATGCGGATAGGATCAGGAAAGCTTCCTCGAGTCGGCCATCCCGGTGCGCCTCGCTTGCCTGCGGGAGCCAAGGGGCCGACGATGCGGGTTAGAGGAAGCGAGCCGGGCCTCTTGGGCGGCGCACGCAGCTCTGCCCCTTACCACAGACTTGAGACGTCTTGCCTTGTCCATCTTGCCTTGGATTACGGCCACGGAGTGTCCATGGCTGCTGCTTCCGATGCTGAGGCTGCTTGAATCGCGGACGAAAGAGGAAGAGGGGGAGGCGGCGGTGGCGGCCAAGGTACTTGGCGTCGAGGACGGACGACTGGTGGCGATGCGCGTGCGATCGCCTAGGCGGCGGCGCTTGGCTGCAGACTGCGGTGGCGAGGTCGAAGATGCCCCGAGCTCTTGCGGCGGCGACTCCTTCTCGACCGTGGCGGATTGGTGGCGTGAGCGCTTGTTGGACATGGCGTACGGTTGCTCGACGCGTGCTGGGTGGGGGTTGAGTCCTGCAGCTGCCGGATCTTGACGAGTTTCTCGAGCGAGTTCCACGGGCTTGACCATCAGCAAGCAAGGGCGAATTGCGATGGTGGCGATGGCGGTGGTGGTGATGATGGTGGTGGCGGTGAGGCAAAGGCGCTTCTCTTTCAGCCGCTGCCCACTTGGCAAGCAGCAGAGGCGGGGCAGGCGGTCCCGCCCGCACGGTCCCCTACGCCACGCGTGCCCTGCTTTTTAGCTCAGCCTCGTGAGGCGGCGCAGGCAAGACGGCCTCGCTCCGCTCTCTGGCTCTCTTCGGCTGCCTGCCTGTTGGCCAGGAGCAGCTTGGACCATTCTCGGACCCGCGCCTCGATCTCGCTCTCAGCGCAGCGCAATCGCCATGGCCGCAGTCCTTGGCTACAGCCAGCCCCATCTATCCTTTCGCTGGAGCGGAGGCGGGCCGAAGCCGAGACGCTCAATGGCCCCGCCAGCTACATAGCTTGCTCGGCGTGGAAACGACCGGGATAGAAACGTCGGCGGCGCCGATACGGCGGCCCACCGAGGCAAGCAGAATGTGAGATGCTGGCGGTCTATCCGACGAGTGCGGAGCAAGCAGTCTGCGACGATGCGACGCACCACGCGTCCGGCTGAGCCGGTCGTGCCTCGACCGATCAGCAAAGCTGCGGCAGCACGCAGACCTCCTCAGCCGGCCGGAATGCCTCCGCGCTGCGGCTCGATTCGCTAGTCCTAACGGGACCGTCCAGCCTGCTACTCTAGGTTGAGGCCAGCGTGAGCTCTGACGGGCGCCTAGCAGACACAGACGCCGATGGGTGGGTGGGTGATGCCAAGGTTGGGCATGTGGAAGTTTGAGGTGTCAGAAGCCAGTCGCCGATCGATGCTGCTGGAACGTGCAGCCTGCCCTGTCTCGCTGCTTGCTTGCTGCGCGGCTCTCCAAGTCCGGGCAGGATGGTCCAGCGTCGAGGGCCAGCTCCCAGGTTGCGAGACGGTCAGGCACCTGCGAGCAGAGGGCGCTTCCTTGGCTGCGTCGATTGATTCCGAAGCTTCGGAGTGGCTTGAACAGGGGACAGGGGAGCGCGATGGCGAGCAGGGCCGCAAGCAAAGAAGGTGGTGGAGAGAAGCAACAGCAGTCAGGGGGATGGCCAGGCAGGCCAGGCTTAGGCTAGGGTCCCCTTCCTGCCGGCCTAGCCTGCCTGCTTGGGTTCGGAGCACCGCTGCGCCATGCATGCAGGTCGGGCGTTTTTCAGCGTCCGCCTGCGCAGGCTGCGGGGCCATGCGAGGATCTGCAACCCTTTCCGAGCCCACGCCGACGCGTCCAGCACGGCCGACAGCTCTCGCTTCCTCTTGCTTGGCCTTTTCCCTGCCCGCTTGCTCCTCGCCTGGCCTGGCCTGGCCTGGCCTCCTATCCTATCCTCTCCTTCGTCGCTCCCCCCGTCTCCCATACTCTGTCTGCCCTGCTCGGCCTCTTTCCGAAGACGACGACATCGGAGCGCGTGTCCATCGCCATGCCCGAGCCATCGCACCCACAACAAAAGCACGCGGAGGCGGGTTATCCACCACTTCACCGAGCCCAAGCGTGCACACCCCATCGCCCTCCCTCCCGCGCCGACACGGAGCGGGGCAAAGCCAGGCTACCTTTCCCAGCCTAGTCCATCCTCCCGCTCCAGCGACTAAGCACCGGGAGAGCCAACGGATGTCGCCCAGGCAACGCCGCCCCCGTGGCCTGCTGCGCTTGCTGCTCGCATGCCGGCCTGCCCCTCTCGCCGCCCCGAGGCAGGCGTCAAGCAAGGCCGGGATCGGCAAGGTGATAGCGCAGCCACCTGCCTACTGCCGCCGTCTGCTCGACTCTACTCTGCCTCAAGCTTCTTACGCCACTTTGCCTCAAGTTGGACCCACGCCATGGAGCGCCAAGCGGACCGCTCGGCGACGGAAACCATGCATGTCGCTTCAGAAGGACGCCGGAGGAGCGCGCGGATGGCAGCCGAGCAGCCCGCACCTGCTGCTTGCTTGCCATCACATCGACCGCTCCCTCGGGCTAATCCAGAGAGGGAGATGAAGCAGGAGGCCTCCATCATCAGCTGGGCTCGTTTGAGGATCCGCAGGCCGTCGATCAATACATAAGGAGCCATCGTCATCTCGGTCTGCGTCTTTCCCCTTTCCTCATCATCGCCCCCCTTCTCCTCGGCTCCTCCCTCCCTCTCCCTCTCACTCTCCCTCTCCTTCTCACATCTCCCATCCTCTCCCCTTCACCTTACCTCTCTTTCTGCATCGCCTCCCTCTCACCACGCGCTGAACGCCCTTTCAGCACCATAGACCCGTAAACACAACGGCCCCGCGATCCTTTCCGCTCCGTCACGCTCTGCCTCTGCTCCGTCTAGACGACTGCCACAGCCTAGAACCTACCAGCTAGAATCTCACCCACCCGCAAGTGAGGGGACCATGAAGACCACCTCCAGCCTCGCCGTGCTCACCGCAGGCCTCGCCTGGGTCGCCGGCGCCGCGGCCCGCGATGCACGCTACCAGTCCGCCCACTCAAACGGCACCGCGCCCGTCGACGTGCAGAGCCTCGACAGGCGCCACGAGGCCTTCCTCTTCCACCCGACGTCGCACACCAACGTCACCGAGAATATCCGACAGAAGCGCGGCACCTGCCCCGCCTCGCAGCTCAACCGCCGCCACCGCAGCACGGCCAAGAGGGTCAAGCGCCAGGCAGGCGCCGGCAAGGTCAACGCCGCCTACTTCACCAACTGGGGCGTCTACGAGCGCAAGTACTTCCCCAACGACATCCCCGTCCAGCAGCTCACCCACGTCAACTACGCATTTGCGACCATCGAACCGTCGACGGGCAAGGCGGTCCTGTCGGACTACTACGCCGACCAGGACATGCGCTACCCGAATGATGCCTCGAGCAGCGGCGGCAGCGGCAAGAACCTCTACGGCGCCTTTAACCAGTTCCTGGCGCTCAAGAAGAGCAACCGCCACCTCAAGCTCGTCCTCTCTATCGGCGGCTGGAGCTACAGCCCGCTCTTCGCGCCCATGGCCACCGACTCGACCAAGCGCGCGGCCTTTGTGTCGAGCGCCGTCGACCTCGTCAGAAACTATGGACTCGACGGCCTCGACATAGACTGGGAGTTCCCCAACAGCGCCGCCGAGGCTGCCGCCTACGTGTCGCTGCTCAAGGAGCTGAGGGCCGGGCTGGATGCCTACGCCGCTCGCGTGGGCCATTCCAACCCCTACCTGCTCACCATCGCCGCGCCCTGCGGGCCGGACAACTACGGCACCCTCGACATGGCGGGCATGGACAAGTATCTAAGCTACTGGAACCTGATGGGCTACGACTACTCGGGCGAGTGGTCCGACGCCGCCACCCACCAGGCCAACCTCCTCGGCGCCGCGCCCTCGGACTCTGACTGCATCACGGCCTACCTGTCGCGCGGCGCCACGGCGAGCAAGGTGGTGCTCGGCATGCCCATCTACGGACGCGGCTTCGACAAGACCGACGGCCTCAACAAGCCCTTCACCGGCGTCGGCTACGGCACCTTTGGCGGCGGCGTCTACGACTACTACGCGCTGCCGGAAGCGGGAGCCACCGAGTTTTACGATGCCAAGGCTGGGGCCGCCTGGTCGTACGACAGCGCCAAGCGCCGCCTCATCAGCTACGACACTCCGGCCGTCGTCCAGCAGAAGGTCGACTACCTGCTCTCCAAGGGTCTGGCCGGCTCCATGTTCTGGGAGCTGAGCGGCGACAATGCCGGCGTCGCCAGCCGATCGCTCGTCCTGGCCTCTGCCAACCGCCTCGGCGGCCTGGACCAGACGCCCAACCACATCAGCTACCCGGAGAGCTCGTTTGACAACGTCCGAGGCAGCAACCCTCCTACGCCCCCGCCGACGACGACCACGAGCACCACGACCACGAGCACCTCGCGCCCCTCGAGCACTAGCACCACGTCTACTAGCACCTCGACGCAGCCTGGCCCCACCACGACGGCCGCGCCGAGCAGGCAGCCGATCGGCTCCGACTGCTCTGGCAACAGCGACTGCCAGTCGTCGTCGTGCGTGTCCAACAAGTGCGTGCCCAGGCCCGGGCAGGGCTGGCTGGGCGGCTTCTGCAACCTGTCGTCGCAGTGCGGCACGAGCCAGCACTGCTTCAACAACAAGTGCCGCGACAAGAAGGACTACGGCGCATCGTGCACCGTCGACGACACCTGCCGATCCGGACGTTGCTCGCCCCTGCTCAGGCGCTGCATCCCGCAGGCGGGCGCCAACGCGTGGGTGGGAGCCTTCTGCAGCAACAACAGCCAGTGCGCCACTGGCCTCTGCACCGACAACGCGTGCGCCGACAAGAGGCAGCCGGGCGACGACTGCAGCGCCGACGTCAACTGCCAGAGCAACCGGTGCGACCCGGCGGCCAAGAAGTGCGTGCCGCAGTCGGACGGCAGCGGTTGGATCGGCTCCTTCTGCACGGCCAACGACCAGTGCTCCAACGGCCTGTGCTCCAGCAACGCCTGCTCGGCCAAGGTGCAGCTGGGCGAGGCCTGCGCCAACGACGAGGGCTGCGCCAGCGGCCGATGCAGCCCGCAGCTCAAGCGCTGCATCCCGCCCGCGGGCAGCTTCTCGGGCTACGTCGGTGTGTTCTGCACAAATGACAGCCAGTGCGCCAACAGGCTCTGCCTCGACAACGCCTGCTCGGACAAGGCCCAGCTGGGCGGCGCGTGCACCGAGGATACGGGCTGCGCGAGCGGACGGTGCAGCCCGCAGCTGAAGCGGTGCATCCCGCAGGCCGGCAGCTTTTCGGGCTACGTGGGCGCCTTTTGCACCAACAACAGCCAGTGCGTCAACAACCTCTGCAACATCGCCGAACACGCCTGCGCCGACAAGGTGCAGCTGGGCCAGGCGTGCACCGACAATGTGCAGTGCCAGAGCAACCGGTGCAGCGTCGATGCCCAGCGCTGCATCCCCACAAAGGGCGCCGGCTGGATTGGCGCCTTCTGCACCCGCTCCACCCAGTGCCAGAGCTCCAACTGCGCCGCCAACAAGTGCGTGTAGCCGTTGCCGGTGCGCGTCCCTCTGCTTCCTAGCCTGATCCTGCACTCGTGTCCTGGGTCCACCTCGATCCTGTCTTCTCTCTCCTGCTCCGTTTCGCTCCTGCGGCCCCGTGACGGGTGTCGGACGCGGTTCCTGTCGTCCTCTCTCATCTCTCTCCAGAGGACGACGCTGGAACGTCCGCCCCGTCCCTTGCTCATCCCCAACATTTCTGCTGTATCACCAGATCTTCCTGTTCCACTCTGTCTTTCCGGCGGTGCTGAATTGCGACGATACAATGCCATTCCGGTCCTACCTTGACCCTTGCTATCCTCCGCTTCCCTTCCTGATGCGGGTACGGCCGTGATGCAACCTCGGCAGAGCTTGCGGCGCACGGTGGGCAGCTCACGTCCTAGTCGAGCTTCCGTGCTGACCTGCGGTTGGTCTCGCCGTGGGCTGCGACCGAGATGGGGTGGGCGTTGCCCGTGGGCTTTCCGGCGGGGTAGCGTTGTCGGTCGAGCTTTTCCTGTGCCGCGAGCGGGGGCTGGTCGTTGTTCCAGTACATGAGGACCTGCAGCAGGGGTGAGGCGGGGCGGGACGGGACGGCAGGGTGCGGCGGGAAAGACGGGGGGATTGTCAGTCAAATGAGATCTGGCTGCACGAGGCGATGGCCGACAGCAACAACGACGGGACGCACCTGGGCGGCAATGACGGCGTTGAACACGGTTGCCAGTCCGAATCCGTAAAGGAGAAGCTTGTCGTCGGTCTCGGTCATGGTGGTAAAGACGCGGGCGACGGTGCCGAGGAGCTGTGCAAAGACGACAATGGAGCTGAGCTGTCCGCGCGACTTTGAGCGGTGCAGCTCGAGCATCTGGGGCACCTTTGACGCGAGCGAGATGGGGATGGTCGTGGCCTGGAGGAGGGTGAGGAGCGACGACGAGACGACCGAGGGCGAGGCGAGGGCGAGCGAGCCAAACGCCATGGCGATGGCGGCTAGCAGGACCTGGATGAGTCGGCTCGATGGGTCGACGTAGCCTCCGGCCGTCAGGGGCGTATAGGCGATGACGAGGAGGGTGATGACCATGTCTGTGTGGGCGGAAGGGGGACACGGGATCAAGAGGTCAAGAAGGGGTCCGCGTCAGTGCACCGAGCCGCAGCCAATTTGCCGGGTCAGGGGAGCAAGGATGACTATGGCGAAACGCACTCTGGAAGGTGAGGGAGAGGTTTTCACCGTAGGTACTAAAGGGGAGCCTGCCGCGTACGGCGTAGGCGAGGCTGATGGTGTAGGCGACGACCTCGAGCGAGTACATGGTGAGGCTGATGCCGCGTGCGCTCCTGGCTTTGACGATGTTGAGGATCTGTGGGATCTTCATGATGCTTCCGAAGACGATGATGCCGGTGCCGAGTGCCTTTGAGATTGCGAGCTTGATGCAGTGGCTCGACGAGAGGTCGACGTTGTAGACGAGGGTGGTGTAGCATTCCTGGCCGAGGAGCGCGATGGCAGGGCGCTGGATAAAGGCGGGCAGGTTGTGGGTGATGCTCTGGATCGAGGACTGCATGGCGGCGAGCAGGCGGGGCGGTGGTGGTAGTGACGAGGATGAGAGGTTAGGCAAGGAGGGTGTTGGTTGGGCGTAGGCGGCAGAGTTGCTCAGCGTCGAGGACGGAGTGATGGTCGCGATGAGGATGGTCGTGGTCGAAGGCGAGAGCGAGACGGGTGGCATCGACTGGGTTGGCCGTGCGTGGATGTCTGCCCTGGGATTGTTTTGATGGCGAGGGTGCGGCGAGGGCGATGATGGGGTCGAGAAGGGAAGATGAGAGGTGGCGCCTGCCCGCCCGCCTGCCGCGCTGCTTTGCCACCCAAAGGGGGCCATCTGCACCACGCTGCCTCCACCCGACCCGACTTTGCATGCCTCTGCCTGGTTCGCGTTGGCTCGTGCGAGGCACCAGTGTCGAAGACTTTCTTCCAGCCGCCCTTCGCCACCTCGCCCCCCCTCGACCACCACCACCACCTGTAGCATTGGCTCGAGGCATCCTCACTTGCCACTGGACGCACGTCAAATGACACACAGTCACCACGCCACCGACCCGCCCAACGACCATCCGTCACCGCGCCCAGCAAAGAGGCATCAACCCAACGCCCCCCACCAGCCAGATACCACCATGAGCCATACCACCACAGCCGACCCGCTCGTCCGCTTCCCCTCCGAGACGGTGCTCGAAGTCCTCGCACACCTAGACACCACCTCGATCGTCGCGCTCGAGGGCGTATCGCGCCCGTGGAACGACTTCGTCTCCGCCCAAGCCGCCATCGTCTACCCGCGTTCCTGCACACAGCGCCACTCGGCCTACCTCGACGCACGCGACATCGCCGCCCCGCCCGCCTCGTTGCAACACGTCCTCGCCGACAAGCGCTCCTACACCCGGCACTGGCCGGATCCTACCAAGCAACCCAAGGCGTACGCCCGCCACCATCACCTCGTCCAACGCAACTTCCGCCCGCCAAAGGGCCAACTGCCAGACATGCGCGAGAGGCTCATCCGCCACCGCGTCTGGCGCTTCCGCCCCGACTACAAGGCCAGGTTCATCATCTGCACGTCGCCGCTCGAGCGCATCTTCTCAGTGTGCATGGACACCCACGAGCTCCTCTGGGAGGTTACAAAGTCGGACGACGGCAGGTCCGTACGCTCCTACGCGCATCTCGAGTACAGCGACGGCCTGGCCGCCTTTGACCGCCTCGGCGATGGCGTAGAGGTGTGGAGGCACCTCGGTCACGACGGGTGTACCTCCAGCCAAGACCTCCTCAACCATCCCAAGCGCGGTCAGTTCGCTCTCGTCTCGGTCCTTCCGCATCGACGCAGGGTCAGGGGGTTCATGATGCACGAGAGGTGAGTGGCGTGCAGGCCGTGGTGTGACGTTCGCTGCGCGTGCGCGATCGAAGAGCTGACAGGTCGTCTTCCCGCTTGAACGTCGCCGTCGCCGCAGGTCCTTGTGCGTCATCTCTGACCAGGGCGAGGGCTACGTGTACGCGCTGTATCCGGACCGCGTCGAAGAGACGGTCAAGGTTTCGCTGCCCGTGGGCGCCATCGGCCACCTCGAGCACTGCTCCGACGTCGTCATGTACTCGCTCGGCAAGGCGGGCTACCACTTCCACTCCAAGGTCGACGGTGCCCACCTCGGTACCATCGATGCCAAGGATCCCAGGCTGGGCCTGTCCAAGTCGCGCAACTACTTCCACATCAAGCACCTGCCCCGGGTGCCGCGGTCCATCACCTCGGACCACGTGTTCCCAAAGTCGACCGAGGACGACAAGCGCATCCTCGCCGTCGAGATCGAGGACGGGCCGTTGCTCGAGCGCGACAAGGAAGAGCACGAAGGCCATGACTGGTCCCTCTCGGCCGACGAGTGGGGCGCCGGCATGCTCTACGGCGACTGGATGGTGGGCATCTCGCTCTGGGGCCGCATCTTCATCTGCTCGGACTGGAGGGGCGTCCTCGACGACCCGGCGCGCGCCGCCGACACCGTGTCGATCATCGAGTGCGACACCGGCGGCTACCCGCAGCTGTTCCAGCTCGGCGGCTGGCTCTCGGTCGGCTGTGGCAAGCTCATCTGCGAAGTGAAGTGAGTCGTCCAAGCGCAGCAGCGCGAAGCGAGGCGGGCGTGGGCCATCGCGGCCGCCTCGGATCGATCATTCTGGCTGAACCTCACTAATCGCATCCATCTGCGTGCCGGTCCTTTTGTCTGCCATTCGCAGCGGGCAAACCCTCCTCCTCACGCTGCCATCTCGACCCGGAGGCCTGATCAAGACGGGAGCCGAGCAGGAACCAGCCTTTGCCATCGCCAGCTTCTACACGCTCGAGGGCACTGGCCCGTTGGTATCTCTTGTCCTTGCGCGCGACTGCCATACCTTTTGCTGACCAGCCTCTCTGCCTCTGCCTCTGCCTCTCTCGTTCTCCTCTCCCCGGCACCGCACCGTACTGCACGCGGCGGACAGGATGTCGATGATGTCGATCCAGGAGGACCACCTGATGACGACGTACGCGTGCAACTCGATGCTAGAGTGGGATGGAGCGATGGGAAACAACATGGAGGCAAAGGGGATCCGCATCGTCGATTTCAGCCTGCCCGCCGAACAGTCGTCCAAGCCTCCAGGATCACCCGAGGATCGGTGGATCGACCCGCGCGATATCGAACATTTCGGTCCCAACGTCAACAACCGCTGGGATAGGGCTTCCTGCGGCCTCCCCTCCCACGCCCCCAGGCGGCTGCTCAACTTTGAGGTCCTCTCGGACGAAGAGGATGAGGATGAGTATGAGTACGAGTACGGGTATGATACTGAAGAGGACGATGAGGAAGGCGACGTCGAAGAGACAGAGAGCGCGAATGGCGGTGATGCGCCGTCTTCGCAGCCCGAGTGAGGACGCTTCACTGGCGACCTGGCGACGAGATAGAGGTAAACGAGAAAGGGCGGTGGCCATCATGGCGGGAGTGAGGGCACCCTGGCCCTCACATCTGACCCCGCGCCGACCGCCATCTGTCTACATGTATGTACTCCCGGACACGCATTCCCTGCAACAGATGCTCCTCTCGCCGACCTTGCGACGTCCAGTCGAGTGTGCTCAGCTCCGTCTCTTGCGCACCGTGCACAAAGGGCGGCGGCAGCCGGACGAGATGATGAAGAGGTTGGAGGGGTGAGAAAAAAAAGGCGAAAAGAGTAGCTTCGGTCGGTCTCGATCCGACGACCTTTGGGTAACCCACATCGCTTCGAAGTGGAAAGGTGATATGAGCCCAACGCGCTAGTCCGACTGCGCCACAAAGCTCCTTGATGTCAGATGTCCGAATGACGTATATAAATAATGTATCTGTTGCTCTCTTCATTTCGACGCGGTCGGTGGGCCTGTCTGACTGTCCTGGCCCGCGCGCTGAGCGCGTCAGTCAGGCTGGGCTGACCGTGCGAGGCCAGGCCTGGGTTTCGGAAGGCGCGGTAGCCTGCCTCTTGGCCTCCACCACCGATCCCATCCTCAGTCTCCTGTCTCGCCACCCTGCTGCGTCTCCAACCATCCAACCATCCTGCACCCGTCTGACCCTCCCAACACCACTTTCTTTGCATCCCAGATAGCCCGCCGTTCCGTGTTCCACATTGCCCGTCGAACCGCGACCGTGCACCAGCACCACCTCCCCTCTAGCCCCTCTCGTTTGCCGCCGAGTGGCGCCTTCACCGCCAGACGACCGCCAAACTACCGCCAACAGGATGCACGAAGATCAGCTGGGAAGCGTGGGTAGCTCCAGCAACCGCTACGACCCCATGTCGGCCGCCCCTGCCGCCGCCCCGTCCTCGGATGCGGCCACTGCCATCGACGTCGATGCCGACGGCGACGACTACGCCGCGGCCAACTCGCAGCTGCCCGATGCCGACGAGGGTGCTGCCGATGCCGCAGGACCGATCGCCGACGGCGGCGAGGGCGCAGCAGAGGGCGAGGAGGAAGAGGAAGAGTACGAGATCGAGAGCATCCTCAGCCACGAGGTCGGCCGCTTCGTCGAGGGCGAGATGGCGTATCTCGTATCCTGGAAGGACTACGGCGAGGAGCACAACTCGTGGGTGCGCGAGGCCGATGCCGAGGGCGCCCAGGACATGATCAACGAGTACTGGGCAAAGACTCCGCGCAAGGAGATAAAAAAGGCAGGCCCCACGCCCAAGAGCCGCAAGAAGGGCGGCAAGACGCAAAAGACCCAGTCGTCGCTGCTCGCCTCCAACGCCGTCTCGAGCCCCTCGGCGGCCACGTCCAAGAAGCGCGCGCGGGAGAGCGTCGTCGGCACCCTCACACGCACCCGCGGCTCCCAGGGCATGCCCGCTCCGCCCGCCCCGTCCACGTCCATCCACCGCCCCGCCGTCCGCGGCGCCGAGGAGCTGCCCTCGCGCTCTCCATCCCCGTACGAGGCGGACGAGATGATCGACGCGGTACTCGAGGAGATTGCCAACGACGACAGCCTCACGCCCGCCGACAAGGTCAAGCTGAAGAGGGAGCACATGCGCCAGGTCAAGCTCGAGTACATGAAGAGAAAGTACGGCCGCATTGGTGACTGGGAGCCCATCGTGAGGCACATTACGGGCATCGAGAACATCGGAGGCAAGCTCTGGGCCTACATGGACTTGTGAGTTCAATGCGGTGCTTGAGGGACGCACGCTGCCACTGGGCGGGCGGGCGACTTGGCGGATTGATTAGGTCTTGAGAGCGGCACGGCTGATCTCGCTTTCCCCTTCCATGCTTCTACTCGCGGCCCTCGCTCGCCTTGCAGCATATCCGGGGACCAGCTCGGCTTTCCCGTGCAGGTGGTAGAGGAGCGCTGCCCGAGGGTGCTCTGCAGGTTCCTGCTCTCCCATGTCCGCTTCAAGACGACCGACGGCATAGTCGAGTACCTTGCCCCGACGCCCGAACCGTCTTCGGCGGCGCCTGCGGCAGCGTCTGCTGCACCCAGCAGCAGCGTCGGAGACGGTGTCAACGGCGAGAGCGCAGCACGTGGCGGAAAGAGCCCAAGCGCAGAAAGAGAGCCCAAGCCAGTCGCAGAAGGAGAATCCGAGGCAGCAGCAGCAGCAGCAGCCAAGGCAACGGATGGAGCGCCGACCGGCGATGGGAACGCCGCTCCTGAGACGGCGCCAGTCAACGGGACCGGTGGCGAGGCTGCAGCGGCGGTCCCGCCGGAAGCTGCCGCGACAACGGCGACGGCAACGTCGGCGCCGGAAGGCCTTGGGGCGCCGGATGGGGCGCCGGATGACGTCGAGATGTACGACGGCGATGCGTCCATCGTCGCTGAACCCCCTGCCTCGGCGATCTTCGCCACCGCGCCTGCCAGCGAACCCGCCACATCCGCCATCCCGTCGTCTTCGATGACGCTCGCGGGCCCCGAGTCGGCCCAGACGGCCGCTGCCGCCGTTGTTGCCGCCGAGACAGCCGAGGTCGCGGCCGAAGTGGCAGAAGACGCCGCCGAGATGGCCAATGGCGCATCGCTCGCCGCCAGCGCCTTTGCGCCCGCCGCCTTTGGAGAGTCGTCTTCCTCGTCTGATACGATCCAGTCGTAGGGCTCGCGGCCCGTGATGGTGTCCAGCCCGCTGCCACGCCTCGTCGGTCGAGATGGCCATGGCGCAGATTGACGTCCCACCCACACACTGCTTGTATTCTAGTTAGCCTCGTCAGATGGTCTGGTATCTGTTATTCCTCGACCCCCGCCTGCTGATCCCAGCTTGCGCCATGGGGCAGTCGACGCCATGTGCGACGGTGTGAGCGCCGCCAGCTAGCACGATGAGTGGGGATGGATCGGCGGCCCACGTGGACGTAGGCGTGTGGAGCTAGCGAGGCGACGCCAAGCTACCGGTAGCCAGGACCGCGACAGTGTGGCGGCGGCGGCAGTGAGAAGAAAGAAACAAAAGCACAGGCCAGCGTCAAACCCGCAAGACGCCGAGCGCTGGCTGCTGGCGTCGCTTCTGCCACCACCACCACCACCACCGCGACTCTCACACGCCCTTACCACCGTTGAAACGCTACCGCACGCCGGTCCATGGGCGACTACCGTCCCATTTACTCTTACGCCGCCTCGGACCGCAACCTCGCATCCACCCGACGACGTCCCACCGCCGGCTGGCTCTCTTATCTCGACGCCGATCGCCTCGTCCACCGCCGCTGCCTCCCGATCCTGGCTGCAGCGCTGGCGCTCGTCGCCTTTTCCACCGTCCTCTTCCTCTCCATCGACGAGGTCACGACGCTCAAGCGCACCTGGAAACCAGCCGAAAGGCCCGCCACCGATCTCAGTCCCGGCAGCGATACCATCCCTCCAGCGTCTGCCGCCGATACCGCCAAGATGCCACCCTCGCTGAACACTGACTCGCTCGATGCCTTCCTCACGCAAGCCAAGAGCTTCGCGCTGCAGAGGCTCGGCGGTAGTGGTGCGGCATCGTCTGCTGCTGCTACTGCTGCTACTGCTGCTGCTGCAGATTCGGTCCCCTCGGTGCCCATCACGCTCGTCATGGGCAACGAGGCGGGCGACCTCGACTCGGCGGCATCGGCCATCTCGCTCAGCTTCCTCCTCTCGCGCTTCGGCCCTCCCGAGGGGCATCAGCTGCCGCAGTCGACCTACCTCCCCCTCATCCAGAGCAACCACGACGACGCCGTGCTCCGGCCCGAAAACACCGCCGCCTTCCACGCTTCCCGCATCGACCCGGCCCATCTCCTCTGCCTCGACGACCTGCAGCACCACCTAGGCCTCTCGCTCGACTCGCCGGCATTCAGCCCAGAGGCCGGCGTGTCGATCGCACTGGTGGACCATCCTTCCCTGACGGGCCCGTGGGGCGGTCCCAAGGCCAGCCATCGCCGCGTTGAGATCATCGTCGACCACCACGAAGACACGGGTGACCATGCCGACGCCAAGATGCGCATCGTCAAGCCGCCGTCCAAGGAGCCGGTGGGCAGCGCCGCCAGCATGGTCGCCAACCTCTACCGCGAGAACCTCGTGTCCGGCGCGGCTCCCAAGGAGCTGGCAGACCTGCTCATCAGCGCCATCGTCATCGACACCGACAACCTGCGTCCGGCCCCGCGCGGCAAGGCGACCCAGGCCGACTTTGACGCCGTCAAGCTGCTCCTGCCCGTCTCGTCTTTTGCCTACCCGGACCTGTCGCAGCAGGTCCAGTTGACGGCCTTCCAGCACTCGCCACTCAACATGTCTACGCCGCCCAGCACGGACATTATCATCGACGAGCCGGCCGGGTCCAGCCCTTCTGCGGACGCGGCGTCGTCGGACAGGGCGGTTGTCGACGCCAAGTCCAAGCTGCGGCCGTTTTGGGAGGTGCTGGTCAAGAGCAAGCTCATGGTGAGCCACCTGAGCGGGCGCGACCTGCTGCGGCGCGACTACAAGGAGCTCGACTTTGTCGAGCCGGCCTCTGCTACGCCCGAGGGTGCCAAGCTGTCGCTGCGGCTCGGCTTCGCCTCTGTGCCCATCGGGCTGGCCGAGTGGCTGCACAAGGACCGGCCGCAGCCCTCGCTGCAGGACGTGGCGGATCCCAAGGCCGAGGTCGACGCGGCGTGGGCCGACTGGTGGAAGACGCTGGATGCGTTCATGGAGGAGAGAAAGATTGACCTGGCCGTCATGACAGGCTCCTTCCGGGACGCGGCGGGCGGGGGCGAGGGCAAGGAGGGGGGCAAGCACAAGAGGGAGCTGGTTCTGGCCTTTGCGCCGCGCAGCCTGGCGGCCTCCGATGCCGAGGCCGTGTGGGCCTCGCTGCGCGACGGGCTCGAGGCCGACGCACACGTCGCCTCGCCCGACGACGTCGAGCGCAGGCTCATGCTCGAACAGCCCTGGAAGGGCCAGAGGCTGCCCGAGCGCGCCGGCGGCAAGAGGGAGAGGGTGGCCGGCCTCGACGCCGACGGTCGTCGTCGCGGTGGTTCTCAACCTGCGTCACCGCCGCGGTGGGCCAAGGTGTACAAGCAGGCCAACGCGCGCGCCAACCGCAAGATTGTGCTGCCCGCCGTTGTCGCTGTGCTGCGCAACGCCGCGTCGGCAGCGAGGCTCTAGGATGCTCGCGGACGGGCGAGCGGGCGTCGTTTCAGGGGTGACCATTGATTCCGATGCACTTTGTAACGACCCTATCGGGGCAGAGAGAGAGAGAGATAGAGAGAGATAGAGAGAGATAGAGGCGGATGGCGGGCCACAGTAGCGGGGGACGGCGCGCGCGCGCGGTTACAGGCTGAGGCTCTCGAGTTCCTTTCGCATGTCGTCGAGGGACTCGAGCTTCTTTTGCTGTTCCGGCAGCAGCTTTTCGCCCGCGTTTTGCTTGTCGAGGAGCGATTCGGCCGCCTTGATCTTGCGGCCGAGGTTGAGACGCCGTTTTGCCGGGTCCTGCGTGGCGGTCGTGGTCGTGGTCGCTGGCGGCGTGGCTGTCGTTTCCGCTGTCGGTTGGGATGGAGTGCCTGCCTCGTTGACCTCAGTCGACGCCGACGCCGTGGCGGTCTTGCCCGTTGCCTTTGCGTCGTCATCCCCGTTATCGTGGCCATCATCGTCCCAAGCATCTGGCACCTCTTCGTCCTCCCTGGTCGACCCGCCGGCGGCGGCGCGGTTCTCCTTGCGCTTGGCGTTCTTCTTTGCGCTCTTGCTCAGCGGCGCCGACCCTGCGGCGGCGGAAGCGCCTGCCTTTGCGGCCTGCACCTGCGGGCTGGGCTTGATGAATCCGGGCACGGAGCCGGGCGGAAGCCTTGCCCTCTCTGCGTCGAGTTGCCTGCTGGACCGGAAGCGCGTCACGTCCTCGGCGGGTGTGAAGCCCGGTTTGACCCTGCGCTCCTTTCGGATGCTGCGTCGTGGTGTGGTGTGGTGCGGAGCGTGAGTGCAAGAGGGAGTGGAAGGGTCAAAACGGTGGCCAAAAGGGGGAGAGGGGGAAAGAGCGGGACGAAGCGGGCCACTCACGATCCATCGGCACGGCGGCTCTCGGGAATGACGCGCTGTTGCGAGCTGGGATCGTTGATGATCCCCGACACGCTCGCCTGCGGAAAGAGCGGCGGCTTGGACATGGTTCGGTCGTTATTTTGGGCGCAGAGGTGAAGTCGATAAGATGGCTCAGAAAATGGAGAGGGAGGAAGGAGGCGTCGATTCCCTCCTCCGTCCTTCTTTGGATTTGCTGCGCCGGACCGGGCCTGGCATGGCCTTGCTTGTGGAGAGGTTCGCTTCCGAAGCCGGGCTCGTGCACGGTGACGCAGGGCACGTTGACCCGGCAGACAGGCCAGAGGCAGCCGCACGGACGGACGGACAGACAGACAGACGAGCCAGGGTCTCTGTCGCTGCTTGCTTGCTTGCTTGCTGGTTTGCCCTCCTCGCGCCTCGCCTCGTCTCGTCAAGCTGGGCCTCTCATCGTCGTGCCTGCCCGTCTGTCTGCTGCCCCCATGCCGCCTTGCTGAATACACAACCGCCCTCGGCCAGCCATGCCTATATATACCACGCCAGGGATACCTCGAGTCCGTCGTTCGACACCGCCATCGCCTCCTCCACCATCAGCACCACCCTCAGCAGCCCCCTCATCATGAGCAACAGCGTGTAGGTAGCAGTGACCCTGCTCGCCGTGCTCTCGCTGCTGCTGCTGCCACGTGCGGCCAGGCACCGCCTCGTCTTGCCCTTTCCTTGCCCGACCATCCAGCTCACCTGTGACCCTTCCCCTCCCCTGGCACAGCTCCGACCGCGTGTCGAGCTTCATCTCGCACAACAACCCGCTCAAGAGCACGTCGGTGCACAACGAGCTGGACCGCGCCGCCGCCTGGAACTACGGGCCCGTCTCGATCCTCGCCGCCTTTGCCGGCTCCCACCTCATCCTCCAGCACCGCCTGCCCAAGCTCTTCTACGGCGTCGACGACAACGTCTACCCGCGCCAGGACCTCCACGGCGACAGGGCAGAGCGCCACGTCGCAACCGGAAAGCTCACCCGCGCACAGCTCAACCGCCTCCGCAGGTGGGAGGCCGCACACTACAACTCGGTCGATCACCTCCCCGTCTTTGTCGGCGCCGTCGTGCGTATCCTGGCCCCGTGGACCGCCCGCCGCATGCAGCCCGCAGCTTCCAAAGGCGGGATGGAGAGCATCGACGGTCGCTGACTCGTTTCCCGCGCGCTCCCGCTCCCGCTCCCCTCCCGTCTGCCGTTCCTCTATCCCTCCGCAGCTCTCGCTCCAGCTGGCCGGCGTGCCCAACCGCCTGACGAACCGCGTGTGCGCAGTCTACCTGGCCGCCCGCGCCGCCTACGCCGGCCTGTACATCACCGTCGAGAGCGAAGGGCTGAGCTGGCTGCGCACCCTCGCCTGGTGGACGTCGAACCTCACCTGCATCTACGCCTTCGTCGAGTCGGCAAAGCGCATCAACCACAACGTCGGCACCGGCACCGTCGCCCTCTAGAAGGGGGGGCCTTTGGTATCGACATTGTAGACAGAGGTGCGCGCGCGTATCGATTGATCGATAGATCTCGCTCCAAGGAAACCAGGCCTGTTCATTTGCGCCACTGATGCCCACGATAGCCTGGCACCGCTCGCCATCCGTTTCCGTCGGCCGATCATGGCCGACACCTTTCAAGAGCCGGCCTTGTTGTGGGGGCGGCGGGCTGTTGAAGCTGCGCCTAGCGATAACCGGCCTCCCCTGGCGCTGACTCGGCGGGTGCGCCATTCGTGAAGAACGGCACACGGGTTGAACGCGGGTGCCGGCCTGTATCAAGACCTTTTTCTTCATTATCGCCGAACCTGATGTGCACGGGGACAATCCTCGTTGATGTCGCCGCGGCAACGGATCGGATGCTCCGGTGTTGTTGTGGTCGAAGGGAGATATCGCAGAGCCGGACGCGCCCTGCTTGCTGCCAAGTTTTGGGTGGGGGGGGGGGGGGGGCACCTTGGCGATGAAGAAGTCGTAGAGGTGCAGGGCCAAGCCCCGGTCGGTGGGTCCTTTGTCGGGCCGGGGAGCGTCGGGCAATTGCACCGACAGAACGAAGCGCCTGCCACGACTTGCCGAGGGCGATGGTGCAGGCTGGGACATGGTGAGGGCGATATGTGTGGCATGTGTGGGTATATGAGTGGTCGTGGTCGTGGTCGTGGCCGTGGTCGTTGGGCTGCTATCAGCACCACACGGCCAGATGTGGTGGTGGCGGCGGTGGTGCAGTTGGGGCGGGCGGCCATCAGTGTTACCTGCTTGTGCGTGCGTGTTTCGTTGGGTCTCAGGGCCAGGGTCCAGGGCCAGGGTCCAACAACTGGCCCCCCACAGCTACGCCGAAACAGACAAAGTGTTGGTCTTGGTGCTGGGTGCGGTCGACATGCACCTGGCTTGGGCTGGCTTTCCTGGATTGTTGGACGGGTTGATCCGCCCGTTCTCCTTCCCTCTACCCACCACCACCACCATTACCTGTCACCACCCACCGTCAAGATGGCCAAGCTGCAAGTAGGTTGGCATCATGCAGTCCAAGGTAGGCTACTACCCTGCATCTGGCAAGCATTTTCAACTCGCCAAGTTCAAGAAGGTGTCAGGCCCTGACCGGCTGGCTGGACTGCCCCAACAGGCCGACCGCCGCAAGCTGAGCCACAGGTGGTGGTGCAGGCAGGACAGGGCCTCTGGCAGGACGCAGCCCACAGTAAGCTGCCAGCATATCAGTCGGCTTCCCAGAAAGTGTGCACAGTAGGTGACTGTTGGCCCATTTGCTTCCCTGGTCAGCAGGGCGACGGCCGGCAGCTCCTCAGCTGGGACCTGGACAAGCAGCAGCTCAAGCACACAAACAGGAGCTAGACAGAGGCCCCCAACCTGCCGGTGAAGAGCCACACCAAGATGGGCCTGCAGCAGCTCAGCTTTCCATCGGTCAAGGTGAGCAAAAGGCTAGCCTCAACCACTTGTGAACCTCGCCAAGGTAGCAATGTAGCAGGCAGCTGATCAAAGTCTTTGACGCTGACATCTGGAACAGCAGGTAGACCACCTGCCGGGCCACAGCCTGTCCCACGGCCACAAGAGGTCAGCATGGTCAAGATGTCGGTATTGAGCCTTGGCTGGCAGCAGCAATACCAGCAGCGGCTGGAAGAACACGTCATCAAGGTGAACCTCGGTCCACGACCCGAGCTCCACGGTTGAGGCCGACCCCAACCGGCGGGATTTGTGCTTCTTCATGCACATGAATTTGACCGCCCAGAACCCCAGGACCGCTTGGTTCACCCTGCCTCAGCGGGACCGGGCTACGGGCAAGCGGCGCTACGACAGGCTAGGGCGCCAGCTCAAGCCCCTCAACGTGCGCCAGGCAGAGGCCATTCAAGGAGAGACCAGTTGCATGCCTCTCTGAGCACCTTGCCTGAAGCTTGTGAGGGAATCGACAAGTGGCAGCCCCAGCTGGAAGCCGTCAGGCACACTGCTGCACCGGAGGCTTTCCCTCTTGAGCCCGCTTGGGTATTGCCGTGCTTGATGGAGCGCTTCTCAGAGGCGGCTTCAAGCCTCGACATCAACCAAGGCAGAGAGACCTCCACATGGCAGTAGTTGCAGTTGGTGCTTTCACCTCACTCTTCCTTGCTGCCTCGCTGCCTCGCTGCCTCACGGCCTCACGGCCTCGTTCTCGACCACGACCCACCTCTGCTCTGTCCCCTTTCCAGTCCCCCGCCGTCGAAGAGAGGCCGCTCAAGCTCGCCCCGGTCGACAGCCCCCTTCGCTTGCCCCTCCACGCCAGTCTCCTTTGCTCCTCACCTCGATGACCACCCCGACCCGCCACGACTCTGCACCCAGCCCGCTCTCGCAGCTACCCACCGAGCTCCTCTACCACTGCTTCCGCCTCGCCGCCTCGCTCGATCCCCACACGGCACGCTCCCTCGCCTACGTCTCGCGCACCGTCTGCCACTGGACCATCTCGCAGCGCTGGTCGACGATCGTCTGCACCACGCCCCAGCAGGTCGTCGCCCTCTGGCTCTTTCTTATCGAGTCCCAGCACAACGACGACACTGACGCCCACCCCCACCCCCCACCCTCCGGCTCCGGCTCCGGCGCGCCACCAACACCGCGCTACATTTCCTGCCCCGCCTCGAGGCCCGGCTCCTATACTCGCAACCTCTTTATCGATACCACTCCATGCGGCGCCACCACTCATGTTGACCCCGGCACGACGACGCCCTACGAGGACCTCCTCACCCTCTCGTCCCGCCTCCAGCTCCAGCGGGAACGCGACGCACTCGCCCACGCCGCAGCGCTTTCGACGTCGCAGCCACCGCCCGCATGGGAGACGCTGCAGCGCACCAAGCTGGCGCCCACCCGCGCCTCGTCGCGCCTCTCCGGGCTCCTCTACCACTTCCCCGCCCTCGACCACCTCGCCCTCGGCGCAACCGAGATGCAGCTCTTCCAGCCCAGCCTCATCTCTACCTCGCCCGTCGAAATGATGCTCGTCTACGACGGAAACGACACCCTCATCTCCGACGTCTTTCTCAGCGGCGTCGAGGAGCTCGCGCACTGGTCCGACGACGTCGAGTCCAGCGGGTCGCAGCGAGGGGCAGGGAACATGACGGCGACACTGGGCGGCATCCGACGCCGCCTCAAGCGGCTCCACGTCGTCGGCATCGACCCGCGCAGCCAGCTGGCGGGCGTAGCGATGCCCGTCAAGATCCTCGAGCCTCTTCGCGCCGGCAGCACCTCGCCCGGCTCTCTTATCCACGCGCTCTCCTACAACGCACCGCCGCTGCTCGACGAGGCGACCTCCAACGGCGACCAAACCAACGGCGATGGCCATGGCGACGTCGACGGCGCCTCGCGCTCTCCGCTAGCCACGGTCCGCGAGCAGGCGATCCGTGCCCTCTCGTTGCCATCGGCTCCCCTATCGCGCCAGCGTACCAGCCAGGGCCTCACGCACCTTCGCTACGATACCAAGCGATTCTCATTTCGGCCCTCGGAGATCATTGCGTCGCGGCTGCGATCATTCGTGCAGGAGCTGGATCTCGCCCCGGCGGCTGGCTCGGCGGCGGCGGGCGGCGAGAATGGCGAGCGGGCGGGTGAGACGAGGACGACGTACACACACACTGGACCTCGCCATGCTGCGCCTGTAGCCGGATCCGGGTCTGACCATAGCCTCCTCGGCCAAATGTCCAGGACCAGCGGCGGCAGCGGCGGCGAGACCTCCCCCTCCTCCTCCTTCTCCAGCATCCCAGCAACCCCCGTCTCAAAGCTGCTGGAGTCGTGGGGGGTCGGTCAGCTACACCGCCTCCAACTATGCTGGGACCCTCCCGCCTCGTCGTCGACATCGTCCTCCTCCTCCACGCCCGCAGCCGCCTCCACACCGGCAGCAGCAGCAGCGGGGGCCGTCGAGGAAGAGCAAGACGCCGAAGACGTCTGGCCACGCGAACGCAGCGACGTGTGGACGAGCACGAGCAGCGGCAGCGGCCTCCTCCCGCTCGTTTTCCCGCCGACGAACTCGTCGTCGTCGTCGTCCTCGTCTGCGACAGGCGGCGGCGCCGTCGTCGACGCATCCTCGGCCGTGTTTGCGGCCGAGTTTGCCGATTCTATCCGACACCTCTACGGCTGGACGCAAATGACGCAGCGGCAGCGCTGGATCGCGTCGCAGGGCGAGTACGTCGATCGCATCGAGGCCGGCTTCACGGCCTCGGATAATGCGGCCCTGTCGCGCATCCAGGAGCGCTTCACGAGGCAACTTCGAGACGAGTCGCTGCTCGCCGCCGCACCTCGAGCCACCGACCACGATGCTGCCGCCGCCGCTGCCGCAGAGTCCGATAGGCTGCGGTATCGCGCCAGGCCGCCCTGCGAGTTCGTCAGCTTGGGCGGCGTCACCGCCGCTTTCACCAAACAGCATCGGATCGATGTCTTCCTCGATCGGTCCAGAGGCGGTCAAGGGTCGTGGCCGTCGACGACCTAGATGAGCACGGCGAATTGCAGATGGCGCACATGGGCCGCCGCCGCCGGCCCACTCTCTTTGGCGGCCTTCGAGACAGGCAGCGGCCGGATGGGTGAAAGCATGCGATGAGATGGCTCTTATCGACGGCGGGGATGTCGTGACCTCGTCCCGTCCTACCCCCTCTTCCGTCCTCCGTCCTTCCCTCCTGTACCTGTCGGGCCCCTCTTGAGCGTCTCCCTGGACGCGCCGCCCTGTCCGCAGCTACAGCCGTGCCGTGGCGGCTAGTCAGTTGCCGTTGACGGCGGGCGTGATGCTGAGGCTGCTCATGCCTTGCAACGCGCCCATGTTGGGCCGCTCGCCGCGCTCGAGGGCGCCCTGGCTCTCGCGGCGCAGCTTCTCGCGCTTGGCGGCGCTCATGTAGACGCGCGGGTAGCTGAGCGGCGTAATGGCGCCCGACGCGTAGCCGCTGCGGCGGCCGTCTTCGTAGTGCTTGACCTCGTGCTCGACCGCCTCGCCGCGCGCGATGCGCTCCCGCTCCCGCTTGATCCGCTCCTGAGCCTCTTCGCACCGCGTCCGCAGAAAGTGGATCACGTCCTTGGGGTTGGGGTGGTTGAAGACGGCCGTGCCCGCCACAATGATGTTGGCGCCCGCATCGGCGCACCGGTCAATCGTCTTGGGCCCGACGCCGCCGTCGACCTCGACGTCAAGATCCGGGAACCGCGCCCGCAGCTCGGCCACCTTGGGCATGCACTCCTTCATAAACTTTTGCCCGCCGGCGCCTGTGTCCCCAGAGGAAGAGCAGGGTGGGTCGCGGCCATGCAGTCAGCTTCGTCGGTCCTGTGCAGTTCGGTCGCCGTGCGCTGCTGCCGGGAACCTGCCACTCACCTGGCCAGACGGTCATGACGAGGATCATATCGACAGCCTTTCCTAGCTCGTCGGAGATCTCGCTGGCCGGCGTGCCTGGGTTGATGGCCACGGCCGCCCGCATCTTTGTAGCCCTGATCTGTCGCACCACGTCCATCGGGTCGTCTAAGGTGTGTCAAGGGGGAGCGAGCGCCGGCCCGATGATCAGCCAAAGAGTTTCCGCGCTGGGTCTCGAGGTTTTCACCGCCTCCACGAGCAGCGAAGGAATGTCACTCACCGGTCGCTTCGAGATGGAACGTATATGATGCACCTCCAGCCTCGGCGATGTCCTTGACCCACTGCGAGATCCGATGCGGCAAGAGAACGAGCGAGAGCTCGCGCGCCGGCTTTCAGCGATCGCTGTTCCCGGAAGCCAGAGGCGCAAGTCGATATCCTCCGCTGCGCAAACTCACCCTGCCGGGGTCGGTCACCATCATGTGGCAGTCCATAAAGATGTTGGGCACCGCCTTGCTGACCGATGCGATGACAGGTGCGCCCATGACGATATTTGGGACAAAGTGCCTGCGCAGTCCAAGTAGAGGGGGTGAAACGAAGGTCAGCGACACGCTCGTAGGTTCCTTCAGCCTGTTCCCTTGACGCCTTGCTCACCCGTCCATGATGTCTGCGCGAGGGCGAATAGAAGCCAAGGCGAAGCGGGGTGTAAGGGTCAAAGAGCGGTGGGCAGAGCATGGCATGGTCAGTCGTGTTCTCGGGCGCCCTTGTAGGCGAAAGCAAAGGTCCGGCGACGCATCTCATCGTTCGCGAGCGCGATTCGCCGCGGACGACGACTCACCCATGTGCAGCCAATCCGCCCCGCAGTCCATCATCCTCTGGCATTCGCAGTTGAGGTTGCCCAGGTCCGAGGCCAGGACACTGGGTGCGATTTTCGTAGCTGGCATGGTGAAGTGAGGTGTGGGACCGTCGATGCCGGCCTGGTACGCTGCGCGTGCTGGTAGTGCTGGTGCTGGTGGTCGAGTCGGACTATGGCCGCTTTGCTGGGATGAACAGAATGGCAGCGCGAGGTGACACTCGGGTCTGCCGCGGCGTTATCGATGCGAGCTCAGAGCGTGGATCCGGAAGAGGTGACCGAGGTGACAAAAGGAGCAGGAACCCGGGCAAGCGAGCAGGCAGATGGTGTTTGTGAAGCAGGGCGCTGTGTAGCGTCTTGAGCTGGTCCGCTGTGGTGTGACGCTATCGGATTCAAGCCTAGCCGTACCGAGGTGGTCAGAGGGATGCTGAGGCCGGCGTGATCAGGGTGTCAGAGTCAGAAGCGGAGGTAGTGGCTTGTCGCTGCGGTCAGACGAGATGCCAGTATCGAGCCGATGTCCGCTGATGTGCAAGGATTGCGACCGCTACAGCCCAGTTGGCGGGGACGACGTGGAAACAACCTCGAGATTGCCGGCCGTACGGCGTCGTCAAGCCGAGTAGAGGAGAGAGGGTGCGTGGGGGCGAGTGCGTCGTGAGTCGAAGGCCGCTATTTGGATGGCCGAGGTCAGGACGACGGCGGTTGCAGTGGTGGTGGCGGGCAGCAGCGACGGCGGTGGCAAAGATGTGATAGAGATGAGCAGGCAGGTGGGTGCGGTATGGAAGATGGTCAAAGTGGGCGGGCAGAGGATGCAAGGCTGGAGGAGGAGAAGGGCCGAGATTGCGTCGTCGGTCGCCCGCCCACTCGCCAAGCCTCTCGAACCGCCGCCGGACCGGAGTCAGCCCAACGCAGCGCAGCCCTCACAGACCAGGCAGGCAGGCTGGCCAAGCAGCGCGGCGCGGCGCGGCAAGCCACACCTGGACCTGGCCAGGCCTGCCTGGCGGCGTCGGGCGAAGGGCTCCTGGCTGCCTTGTTTCCCGTGTGTCCCTGCCTTGCCTTGCCCTGCCCTGCCCTCTGGCCGCCTGGGCTGGCCTGCGCACCGGCCAAGCGCCCACCCGCCCTCTTCTCTGTGGGCTGCCCAAATTTGAATTGTTGGGCCCTGGCCCTGGAGCCTGCTGGCCCTGCCACCGAGGGTTTTTAGAAATGGCTCAGAGGGCTGCGTCACTGTGCCGGCCTGTTCCAAGCGGCGCGGGCTTCCCCTAGCTTTGCCCCCACCCCACCCCAAAACGACTGGCCTGGCCCTGGCCTGCTGGGCCTGCCACGCTCGGCTGCCTCGCCGACGCCGTCGACTCAATTCGCCGAGACGGCTGGCAAAAATCTCGGCTCCGGCTGCTGGCCCCCTCCTGCTCGCCGAGCTTCGCTGCGACGCCAGGCGACGAGCGCCATGAAGCGCTCCCTTCTGCCCTCGCTGCGCTCGCTGCGCTCGCTTCTCAGCTTCACACCGCGCACGCACTCACTCGTCCAGAGGTCCAGATGCGGGGAGGGCGACTGAATTCTACAGCGGACCGAATCAAGGACGAGGGGGGTATCAATGCCAACGGGACGGTGGAAAATGCGAGGCAGGATCTTGCTATGCTGCGCCAACGCCTGCGGCGGGGGCTGGCCCGGGACTCAGAAATGCGACACGCCCTCGGACTCCATCTTGCCCATGCGCTTGTTCTGCTTGCCAAACTGGCGCTTGACGCGCACCACGCCGTCCTCGGCGTTGGTCTTGAGCCAGCTCAGCGTGCGGAACCCCTTGACCTGCGCCGCGCCCCGGTGCTGGCGATGCAGCGCCCGCTGCCGCGCCCGTCGCCCCTCGGGCGTATCCGCATCCTCGCCCGACATGTAGTCCTCGACCTCCGAGTCAGTCACCGACGCCGTGTACAGGCTGCCGCGCTCGGCCGCCTCCTCGTCCTCAAACATCTCGGTCGAACGCCGCTCTTCGGGCTCAGCCACAAACGCGTCGGCGCCGTTGCGCGGCTGCGACAGCACGCGGCGGTGGCCCGGCCGGCTCGAACCCGGTGTTCCGGCCATCGACGGCACCGCCGACCCGTCCGACGGCTCGAGCGCCCGATTGCCCATCTCTCCGAGCCTCTTCCGGCTCTCGGCGCTCAGCGAGTGCGACTTTGGCCGCTCGCCGCAGTCGGTCAGCGTGACGTAGGTGTCGTAGGCGAAGCGCAGCTCGTGGTCGCCGGCAGTGTGCGCTCCGTGCTCCGGTCCCAGGCCGCGGTGGTAGATGAGGTTCAGCTCGAGCCAGCCGACACATTTGATGTGGTGGTCCGACGTCACCTCGAGCGGCAGGTCGCGGCTGCCCGCCTCGCAAATCTCCTCGAGCGCCGCCGAGAGCCGCGTCGGCTCATCGTCGCCCGGCGTGGGCGAGAGCAGCTGGTCCGCGTTCGTCGTCGCTCGCAGCATGTCCTGCTCGAATCGGTCCATGTCCGACGTCTCGTACAGCGGCACGCGGCGTCGGGTAAAGGTGTCGTCGGCGATCCGGTTGAGGGGGACCACGGCATGAGCATGCTTGTGGTGGCGCCCTGGCACGCGCGACTCGCTGCGCAGGTTGACGTAGAGGAAGTTGGGATACCTCTGCCTCACGGGGATGCGGACCGGCGACTTGTCGAGCGACCACTGGTAGCTCACCTTGGCGGCCTCGCCTCCGCCCGACTCGTACTCGTCGATCGGGTCGACGTTGGCCGTCTCGACCTTGCCGCCGACCGTCTCAAAGAGGATGTGGCACGGCTTGGCCTCGAACAGCTGCTGCGAAAGCCCAGTGGCGCGGCAGCGGGCCAGCTCGAGCACGCCGATGTTCCAGCCTCGCAGCGGCTTGGGGATCGTCGACTCAAAGCTTCGCCAGAGCAGCGTGATGCGGATCTTGCCGTAGCCCAGGCCGCCCGTCAGCGTGTACCACTCGGTGCTCTTGCTGCTCTTCTTGAGCACGTCGGCCAGCCGCAGCCCCGCGCAGCCAAGGATGGGATCGCCCTCGCGCATCCGCGCATCCCGCACCGTGAAGTCGATCCGAGCGGTGGTCCAGTCGCCCACGAAGCGCTCGCTGCCGCCGTTGATGTAGGGGCGCGCGTTGAGCGTCTTGGTCCTCGTCCGGAAGATGGCCTCGTCGTTGAGGAAGACCTGGACGTACGACGACGGCAGCTTGCCCGCACCCGTGCCCTCGGCCAGCGTCTCGTCGGCGTTGGTCGTGTAGCGCTGCTTCTGCGACAGGCGCTTGCTGTTCGAGTAGCTGCGTTGCGTTTGCTGCACCTCGAGGTTGTGGATCGAGTGGATGTGGAACGCCAGGATGCCCGACGGCAGCTCCCGAACCGGAGGCTCGGCGGTGGCGGCCTTTGAGCCTTCGATCATCGTGATGAGCTTCTCGACACGCTCCTTGCGGTCGCGCCTCTTGCGCAGCACATCGTCGTCCATCGGAAGCCCGAGGCCGTGGACGAAACGGTCAAACGGCGTCATGTACTGGTGGAGCTCGTTGTCGTCCTTCTCGTCGCTGCCACTGCCGCCACCATCGACCCCAGCTGGGGGTGGGGTCACTGCCGCGCCGCTGACAGCGGTCGAACCCGAAGCCGTCGCTTCCTGCGTCTCGGCCTTCTGACCGGGCTTGGGCGGCAGTGGAGGCGGAGAGGCGGCGGCGAAGTCGAGCGAGACTGGCTTGCCAGCTTTGCTCCTTGCCTCCACTCTCGCCATCGCCCTCCTCAGGATCTCTTGTCGCTTGCCGTTGAGGTTGGTTCCCTTGCCCTGGGCCAGGGCAAAGAAGCCTACGCTGAACTTGAGTCGCCCCTGTACGGCCGTTCCGCGCCGCATGGGCTTCAGGTCCTCCATCCGCGTCTCGAGGAGGTTGGCGGCGGCCTCGTTGCGCATCCTCGATCGGCGGATCAGGCCGTCGATCGACACCTCGACCTTGCCGAGCGGATCGTCGGCCGAGAAGCGGTCCGCATCGAAGACAGTCAGCCGCAGACGCTCGTGGTCGCGCAGCTCGTCGGGCGTCACCAGCAGGAAGGCAGTCTCCTGCCAGATCGGATCGATCGTCTTGCGCAGCACCCGCGACGTGAAGAGGGGCTTGCCGGCGTGGGAGAAGCTGGCCTGGACGAAGGGGTCGCTGTAGCCGTTGGCGTCGGCGGCCGCGAGGTTTGTGGCCTGGTGGAGGACGATGACGAGCAGGCCCATGGCGTAGACGTCTTGTGGCCCGTCTCCCGAGCCCAAGAGGCCGGCCACGTCGACGGTGTACGACTTGGGCGCGATGAAGCCCTTGATGACGTCCTCGACCGAGTGCAGAGCGTAGCTCGAGATGAGCGGCAGGTTCATGGCGTCGATGATCATCTTCTTGCCCAGCGGCTTGGCCGACATCTCGAGCTTGGGCGAGCCGACAAACGTGAGGGCGACGTGCTTGACAAATGGCGCCACCGGCGTCATCTGGAGGCGAACGCGCATCTTGCCCTCGATGCCGACCATCTCGACCCACACGGGAACCTCGACGGCGGCAATCTTCTGGAGGCCGATGCCCATGTAGATGAGCATGTGGATCTTTTCGGTCGGCGCCTCGGCCAGCGTCTGATACGCCGGGTCGACTTCGGCGTCGGCGCCAATGGGCTCGTTGCTGCCGCTCTTGTCGTTGGTGGTGGTGGCGGCCTTGTTCCTCTTCCTGCGCGAAGGCTTGGTGCCGCGGTAGGCGAAGACGACCTCGAGGTTGATGTAGTCGCCCGTGTCGATGCCGGTGTCGTCGTCCTCGTCGTCGTCCGACGGCCTGGCCGAGCCAAGGTTGGTGCCGTTGCCGTTGCCCTCCGCCTGGTCGCGCGAACGACGCTTCCTGGAGCGCGACGAGGCTCCCTCCTCGTCCTCGGGCGCCAGGAACGAGGCCTCGTCGGACGGAATCACCTTGAAGCTCTTGACGCGGATCGGGATGGTGCCCTGGTCGAGGTCCTCGACGCGGACGCTGTGGACGATGCCCGGCACCTGCGTCATCAGACTGTCCTCGAGCAGGTCGACAAAAGGCACAAAGTAGTCGCTTCCGATAAGCGGCCAGACGGTGGCAAGCGTCGAGTTGAGCCACTCGACCGTCTCCTCTTGCTGGTCCGGGTCGTGGAAGCGCTTGGCCGCCTCGAGCATCTCGACTTCCCACTGCGCATCTCGGCCCGCAGCGTCGAGCTTCTTCCACAGCACGTGCGATGCGCAGCCGGCTACGACGGCGGCCAGCAGCCAGTGGAGGCGCGACAGCACCAGCACGGCCAGGCTGGTGGCGCCAAAGAAGGTCATGATCATCGGGATGTGCTGCTGGAAGGGGCCGACGTCGGCCTGGGCCGCGGGCCGCGTCGCGACCATGCTGGCAAGTCCGTGGGCGGACTGCGCGACTTTTTTTGCGACGTCTTGGACGCCTGAAGCTCCGTTTGCCTGGCCGCGATGGGTCGACGGCGGCTCATTGGGCTCGGCCTGCGGCGAGAGGGTGTGGGGCTCGGCGACGAGGGGCTGTGCCAGTGACGACGGCCCCTGCTCCTCTCGGGGGTGCCCGAGGGGCCTTTCTGGAAGAGGCGGCGCCGCAGTGACGATTGTGGGCCTGGGAGGCAAGGGAGGCAGAGGAGGCAGCGACTGTTCTGAGTTGATCGACCAGCGCTTGTGGTCGGAGGCGTCATCGACCATGAGGCTGTCGTCGTCGTTGGAGGCGGCGCTGCGACGCTTCCCCTTGAAGCTGGGTTTCCTGATGCGAGAACGGATCGACGAGAAGCTGGGCCTTCGGAGCGACGAGGTGCGCCGCTCGGGGGAGCCGTCCACTGCGCTGTCGCCGTCGTTCATGGCGTCGAATGGAGGGGCCGGGGTGAGGGGTTGCGTGGGGGCCTGATCGACGGGGCTGCGTGGCGCGGGGGGATGGGGTGGAAACGGAGCGGTCACCTTGCAAGCCGTGCCTTGGTCTCGATGATCTGGCGTGCCCCCGCTATAGGCGTTGCACCAATGCGTTGTGGTCGTGGTCGTGATGCTGGTCTGTGCGGTGGCTGCCCTTGAGCCGAGGGGCGAGCTCGGAGGCAGCGGTCAGTAGAGTGCAGGGCTGGTAGAGAGCTGCTCGATGCTGGTCGTGCCGGTGTCGTGTATGGGCGGGCGGCGAGGAGCGTCGAGCTAGCTGTGCGCTGGTTGACGACGTGGTGGTGGTCGGGTTGACGGCGATGGCGATGGCGACGGTGATGGCGATGGCGATGGCGAGGGGCGAGGGGCCGGCCGTACCGTTGGCGGCCAACTAGGCTGGCTGCATCTGCGTTGCCTCGATGCCAGGTCGGGCTAGGCCAGAGGCAGGCTAGGCTACGTTGGTTGCGCGGTTGGCTGGCTCCGTGGGAGCCTGCTTGGCATGCTACCGCAGGCCAGGCTAGGCCAGCTGGGCTAGGCTAGGCTATGCAGGCTACCTCGGAGCTGGCCCTTGCGCGCCCGCCCCCGTTGGAAGAAAGATTGCCCACGTCCAATGCGCACAGCCCCCCCACGTCTGGCCAGGAAGAAGTGGTGAGGCTAGGCTTGGGCTGGCCTGCGGTCGACAGCCGGCCGGGCAGGCAGGTGAGTGGGCAACTGGGCCCAGAGCGAGCGAGGCCACAGGGGTCGAGGAGGCGGTGCGTGCCGGTTTGCCTCCGGCCGGCCGGCCCTCTTGGCAAGTCACCAGCAGCGGGGCAGGCGCAGAAGAAAGAGGCCGAGAGAGGCAGGCTAGGCAGGCCAACCGCTGTCTTTTGGCCGGTTGTGACTTTGTGGAGGCAGGTGGTGGCTTCCACCGGCACGGTGACGGCACCGCTTTGGCTGCTTCCTGCCAGGCTATGCCTCCCCGCCCGTCCATCTTCCGGCCCACTGCCTCCGCATTGGGCCACCGGCCGGCCATTCCGGCGCCGTCGGAAGAGGCCCCTAAGCCCGATGCATCGGCATTCGCAGTTTGACCTAGCCGATCAAGCCGATCGACTTGATGGGCTAGCCATCTTGGCCTTGCCCATGCCCCCCATTGCCAAGGACCTCTGTTTCCTCGTCTCCGGTGGCTCGGCGGCCAGCTTGCTCGGATCCAGTCGCTGGTAGGATGTGTAGATGGTGCTCTGCCTCGGAGCATCGCGTGGCTGGTCAGATTGGCTGGGAAGCGCTTGACGAGGAGCGGGCAGGGGTAGGCGGGTGGATGCAAGAGGGCAAAGACCTGCTGCTGCTGCCCAGCGAGCTGTAGACGACGACGACGACGACGACGACAACGACGACACCAACGAGGAGCAAGCATGACGTACCTAGCTTGGGCTGGCTGGCTTGTCATCGGCGAGTAAGGACAGACCGAGCGGGTCACCAACATCTACCCCAACCCCCAGCTCTGCCCTGCCGCAACGCGCAATTGCCGCTGCAAGATCGGGATCACATGGGCACGTCACCCTGGCCTAGCCTAGCCTCTTGCACGCATCCGTCCAAACAGATCCCGGACGCCCTGCATTCTGTAGACTCTCCTCGAGGAGCAGACGATTGGCGCTCGGAGGGCATCCGAAATAACCTGCCGTGCCACGGCGGACCTCCTGCTGTCCCGGAAGATCAAAGGCAAGGTCGGGAGGGATGAGGCTGAATGAGCGTGCCTCCCTCGACTTTGGTAAGCTCCGATGGCTGCCGCCGCCGGGCCTCTCCGGCCCCTTTCTCGCCTTCGCACCGGAAACGACCTCGACATCCGCGTACATACGTCTAGCCTCGTCAAGGCGCGGCATGACCAGGCCTGGTCAGGCTGTCGATCCATCGTCGCCTCACCGAGCTCCTGCCGCCGACACCCTCCGGACCCCGCTTGCGGCGACATCAGCTGCACGGCCTGCCGCCTTGAGACCAAACAAGCCCGAGGCACCCGAGGCCGACGACGCGCGCGCGACGTGGTCACGGCGTCATCGACCTTGCGGGCTCCCTCGACGCTGCCTGTCCCTGGCCCCGGAAAGAGTGGAGGCCTTCGTGGCTCCTTGCGAATGACGAGAGGCTCGAGCCGTCCCCGTGCCCATGTTGGGTGATGATCTCTGCCCTGCTCGTCCATCCCCGCGTCGAGCTAGGCGAGCTGGCTGGTGTGGACCGCCGCCGCCGCCGCCGCCAGCTTACACAAGAAGCTCAGTCATCCTGATACACTCGAGAACCAGGGCGGGTACAGGATGCTGCCTTGGGTAGGCTGCACCATCTCGCCAGGCTTCCGCTCACGACCACTGCGAGGCTCGTCATCGTCATCAACAGCATCATCGTCGACGCGATGCTAGGTATGGCAGCGACGACGCCTTCGGTCAGAGGCCAGACAGCCCGTGCGTGGTCGCGTGCCTTGATCGCCAACATCTCGCTGCTACGTCGAGCTCGTCTCTCCAGGAGAACCAGTAGATCCCATCGACAAGGCGAAAGGGGATATAAGGTCGGTCAGTCTTCCTCTCCCCCCTCTCTCTTCACCACAAACAACGCACACTCGACGACTGCAGCACCACACCAGAGCCCACCTCTATCTCTCTCACCACCTCGTCGCTCAGATCCACATCGCCATGCCGGACGCCAAGGACCAGGTTCCCGTCGAGGAAGACGAGGTCGTCTCCGAGGAGACCAACGTCAATGCCCAGGCCGAGGACGAGCAGGTGGCCACCAAGAGCGAGGTGAATCAGCTCAAGTCAGAGGCTGCTGACCTTGACGAGAGCAACATCATCGACGACTCGCCCGGCGTCACTACCCGCGGCGCAAAGGTCGATGCTACCAAGCAGGTGCGTTCCGTGCGCCGCCGCCTTTCCTTGTCATGACCATGACCCGACGTGCCGGGTCGAGGGACAGGATCGTGCTGATCATCCTCCTCGCCCTCTCCGTGTGTGCGTGCCCTCCCCTTGGATCGAACAGGAGCGCGAGATCGACGCGGCCGTCGACGCTGCTGCCAAGGCCGACGAGCAGAGCTAGACTTGCGGCTCTCATCGATGCCGCCTCGTCGTCCTGGCCTTTGTCCTCGTGGCGAATCGGCAGATACCCCCCACTGTACTTCTAGCCCTCTCCTGTCCCATCGTAATCGCCAGCCTCTGCGTTGGACCCGTCCTTTTCGCGCTGCAGCATCCGCATTGGTGTCTGGTCTTGGGTGTTAGTGATTGTCGCCGATGTCAACCTGTGAGCGCCAGCCGTCGTGACGTCCGGCTCAATGGCATCGTATCGTGTCAACGCGGCCGGTCGGCCTGGTTCAAGCCGTGATCAAGAGAAAGCGAGTTTGTCATTGATGCTCTAGAGCCAAGCGCGACAAGGCCTCGGCACTAGCCTGGGATCCTAAGCCGATGCTCGTCGGGTCTGCTTGCCCAAACCGCAGCGTCAGAGCGGCAAAGAGCTTAGTGGTGCTCGCCGGCGTGCTCGTCGCCGACAAAGTCCATCTCGTACACTGTAAGCAAAGTTGCGGCCGAGAAGAGAATAGGGAGGAGACGAGCAGGCCGGATCATCAGCGACAGAGCTCCACGACGCTGTCCGGCGTCCCACGCAAGCCCCCCTCCCGCGCCGCTATGACGAAGTAACGGCCATCGCGGCAAATACCGGGCGCACTCACCGCTACCGCACTCGGGGCACCTGTGGAACTTGAGGTCGCGGTTGAGGTGAAGGTAGATGTTGTCGTGCGAGTCGGCGGGGTATCCGGTGCATCCAACGATACGGGTGGGCCACTACAGGGGAGGCGAGAGGAAAGCACGACGGAGGCGAAGGGGACGTCAGCTTGAATGTCCGGCGTTCAAGGCAAACAAGCGGGAATCCGCTGGACATGGCTGCTTTGTCGCTCGACATGCCCGATTTGACGTTCCAGGGCGTCGCAGGGAGACGGTGATCCTGCCGGGATCCCTTCATAGAGTCATGCCACCATCCACGGCTGCGACTCGTGCAAGCTGGCACGGCGAAGCGCGCCTCGCCGGGATCCTCCTATCCATCTGCCAGACTTTCCGCTCCTCCTCTGCGCTGACCTCCAACGACAACACCGCCATCGACTCCGCCGAGGACACTCACGTAGCTCTTGATCATGATGGGGTTCTCGGTGGTGCCGAGGTGAGTCATCTCGAGGGGGCTCATGTCGAAGACGTCCTCGCCCTGGAGCTTTCCGAGGAGCTCGAAGCGCTCGAGACCGGTGGCCTGCTGCTCGTCCGAGGGGATCTCGCCAGGCTTGGAGCCATCGCCCTGGATGACGGGAGGGCCAGCGGCGAATCGGAGCGCCGAGCTGGTGAAGAGACGGGCAGCCGGAAGGCGGGCGGCGGCCGGGGCCGGGGCGGCGGCACGGAGCGCAAGAGGGGCGCGGGCGACGAAGCGAGCGGCGAACGACATGGTGACGCTGGTCGACGAGTGGATGAAAGAGGAAGGGTGGAAGCGGTGGTGGTGGTTGTGGTGGTGGCGATTGTGGAGACGGGCCGGGCGATGGAGTCGACAGCAGCGGTAGCGACGACGACGGACGAGAGAGGGCCTGCCCCGCTGCCCGGCCCTTCCGCCCGCTCACCCACCCGCCGAGAAGAAACGCACGCGCGGGCGGAGCCGGGCCTGGCCCCTCAAGGCCCATCGAAATTTAAAAAGAGCAAGCACACCAGTTGTCAGCCAGCGTGGATTTCAAATGCCCCATCCAAATTCAAGCGCCATGCAGCCTTAAATACAGCCAGCCTGGGCGGACGCCAGCTCGGAGCCGAAAATCTCGAGGATGGTGCTGCGACCTCATCCTTGTTGCTTGACGTCTATAGCAGCCTCGCAGAGCCCAGCCGCGCCAGCCGCAGGGCAGGCCCTCGACGCCATCATCTCCTGCTTCTCACTTCGGACCCGCCACCAGAGTCTGTCGCCCACCTGTAGCTCGGCACCTGGATCCGAGTGCCGCCGGAGGGCCTCGACGAGCTGTGACCGGATCGACGTCGATCCGTCCTGCCACTCGTCCATCTGACATGGCCTGGGCAAGATGACAAGATCTAGGAGGTTCGGGAGACTCCTTCTGCGGATGGCGAGCAGCAGGGCGGCCAGATCGCCGGGCTGCGGCGAAAAGACTCGCAGGCGCCTCGTGCTTGCGAGCCTGGACCAGTCGAGTGACGTCGAGAGGACCCCTCCGTCGACTTCCAGGTCGGTGACTGAGCTGGTAGAGGCCGTATCGCCGTCATTTGATCGTCTCTGCCGTGGCCTGATATGTCGTCCGCGGACCCTCTTGCACCCGCCGACGAAGAGATGCTGGAGCTGGCGGCAGGCGGGGCTGGCCAGCAATGCGGCGAGCGCAGGTCCGCGCACTGGGCTGCGTCGGATCTCGAGGCTGCTCAGCCGCAGCGACGAGCCAGTCTCCCGCCCCTCTTGCCCCTTTCCAGGCGCTTGTGCTAGCAGAGCGAGGAGTGCGCCGTTGTCGGTCGACAGGGCCTTGCACGCCGTCAGCACCAGACGACGCAGCGACCTGCTGCGCCTCAGCGCCGCCGCGAGCGCATGGACACCCGCCCTCTGCCCCTCCTCTCCCCTGCAGCCGCAGGTCTTGACTCCGCTAACGTCGAGCTTGTCAAGGTGTCGAAGTCCGCCGACGACTGTGGCCAGTGCATCGGCATCGACGTGTGGCGAGTGTATGGTCAAGGCCCGAAGCCGAGGAGTGTTGGCGACCACCGCGGCGGCGAGGCTGGGCATCATGGCCAGAGGTGTTTGCAGTACGCTCAGCGTCTGGTGTAGATGGGAAGGAACAGGACGGTGCCGTCAGCGGAAAGTGCATCGTTCGTTCGCCCAAGGTGGGACCCGGACTACCCACCACAGTGTTCGGGCACAACGCCAGGATGGCGCCGATCGGACCCCCGGCGTTTTCAGAGATGGCGTGCCGGTCGATGCGCGAGAAGAGCTCGCTCACTCTCTTCTCCTGCGGGCCCCGCCACACCACGCCAGGCTCGTAGAGGACAATGTGTCGGATGTCGTCGAGGCATTGATCCGAGACACGCTGCGGTCGCCGTTCGAATATCCGGCTCGCCTGATACCCCAGGGGAGTCGCAGGTTTGTCGTCGTCGGAAGCGCCTGCCTCGGGGTGAGAAGGCGACAAATGATGCGCCAAGAAACGCAGGAGCTCTTCGGAGCCATCGAGCCGCAGATGCGTCTTGAAGGCCGGCGTGTATAGTGCTCGCAGACAGCGATTCGTACGGGCCAGGCTTGAAAGGTCGTCGCGGTCGAGAAAGTCGCAAAACGTCTTGCTGTCGAAATCAGAGGACAGGCTGGCCGAGTTTGAGCATACGTCGATATTGATCGCAGATGCCCGCGCGCAGCGGAACGACTCACTGAAGCTCGACGGGGAGACTCTGGAAGCAGACCATGGCGAAACGGTGTTCGAGCAAGTTGTTTGTGCGGGAGTTGAAGGGCTGTGTAGCGGGAATGCCAGAGGCAGCCCCAGACCCTAGCCAATGAGCTCAGTCGGCCTTATAAGGCGGGTGGGAGAAGGGCATAGCAGAACAACTCGGTCGACCTGCTTGCCGCTGCATCGAGCGGAGGGCAAGGGAGGCGATAAGAGACATCGCGGACCCTGGCGGCGACGTCGGGAAGGGAAAAAACGCGACCTTGCTGGTTACGCTGGCACGCGCGATAGTAGTGAAACGCGGCAAGCCGACTTCACGCAGCAAGCCAGCGACCGCTCCGGTCACGGATGGGGCCTCGTGCACAAGCACGCAAAGCGGCGCAGAAGGGGCCTTAGCAGAGTCGTCGACCGTCGGGTCCGTCAGCCGCCGTGGATCCTGGCGGCCGCCATCCTCGTCAGCTCCAGCTCTCGGTCAACGTCCTCAGCACCTTCTTCGCCGTCTGCCAGAACGATCTCGCTGACCTCGGGGCTGTTGTCGTATCGGATCACCTTGGCCATCCCCCCGGAAGCGCCAAAATCGATCTTGGACAGCTTCGGGCAGACGGCAGCGACCAGGCGCGCCTTCTGTTTGAGCGTGGCGACGAACGTGTCGGAGCTGCCGTGGTACCGCAGGGACAGGCTGCCGCTCGCCGGCGGCCTCTGGAGGATGTCGAGCTGGTGGAGGGGGAACTGGAGTACCTCTAGCTGCTGCAGCGCGGCAAAAGCCGGGAGGTAGGTCTCGAGGAAGCCGGCCACGTTACAGCGTAGCCGAAGGATGCGGATCCGCTTGCAGGCCTCAAAGAGGCGGATCAGATCGAGCTTGTCGGACACGACGACGGCGAACTCGCCATCGACCTCCTCGAGATGCTGTGCCTGGGCGAGGCCCTCGAGCAGACACTGCCCCTGCGGCGTCGAGGTCCAGTTGGCCAGCCTGCGCGCGCCCAGCATGACGGTGTCAAATTGGACGCCGCGGATCCGTCGAATGGGCCGCAACGGCGAGCTCAGCACCGAGATGGCATTGTCGATGCCGCCCCAGAACGTATGCAGCCGAGGCAGAGCGTGGTCCGAGATGTTGTCGAGGTAGATGTAGCGCCCCGTTGTGGCATCGACCTGGTCGACCTTGAGGACCTCGAGCTGCGGGTGGCGCTCAAAGAAGGCAGCCACAGCCTCCTCATCCCCGGCGTGGAATCGGGAGAGCTCGAGCACGCGGAGCTTCGGCCAGTGGGCGTGGGCCATCAGCGTTCCACCGTAGATGGCGTTGCGCACCCTGACGTCGGTATACTGAATGCGAAGCTCTTCGAGGTCCGGGCAGCGCTGTACCAGAGACGTCTCGAGGGCGCCGAGCTCGGCGATGATCGATGCCGGATCCGACGGGACGTACGAGGAGCACCAGACGAGCCTCTTGAGTCCGCTGCACTCGAAGAAGGTGGAGCCGTGAATGCTCTGCCTCTCGTCGGACGACGTGCCGGTGCGGCCGCAGGAGTCTGCGCATTCGACATCCTCGAGGCGTGGGCACGCTCGCCACAGGCGGGACCAGAAGTCGTCGCCGGAGAGGGGAGGACGTATCCGGAACACCAGCTTGCGCAGGTTGACCATCCTCTCGACGGCAGCGATAAGAAGCTCCTCGTTCTTTTTTTCTGCCGTTAGCCCGCGAGACGACGAAGGACGGGAGACGGCGGCATTCTGTAGCCCGTCCGGGATGTGAGGCGGCCGTCGCGAGTCGAGGACGAGGCAGCGGACATTGCTGGCGAGTCGTGGGTGGTCGGCGAGGTGGGACCAGAGAGTGGCCTCGTCAAGACCGCAGCAGATGCGATACCAGCCGATGTGGTGAGGTCGGATGAGGGCGCAGAGGTCTCGGCAGGTAGACGCCAAGGCGACGAGATCAGCGAGCTCGTCGAGGTCGACGGCGATCAGCTCGATGATTTCTGGCGGCAGGCGCAGCAGTGGCGAGGGCGAGCTGAGCTGCAGCGGGGTCGAGCATCGCGAAAGCGCCGGCGAGTCCGACGAGAGCTGGCGCCGCAGCGCTGCCGATGCCGGGATGGCGCCCGGCCCGAGCACCAGATCAAAGGCAGAGACCATGTCGCAGCCACTGTGGTATCCGGTGTTCAGCTAGGCTCTGTGCCTGAGAGCGGCGCCCATGCGGTGGTAGGAAACGACCTTGCAGCAGATGGATGGTCGACGAAGGGCCGAGAGAGGACGGGCCCGCTGTCGCGATGCAGTCAATGGTCGATGGTGGTGGCCAGGGACGGGAGCGAGCGGAAGAGGAAGCCGGTGCATCGGGAAGAAAGAGAGCACATCTCGCACGATCTGAGATAAGCTGGGTCGGCTGGTCCGTGCTCGGTGGGTGCGCGTGGAGGCAGGTCGGCCAGGCGCCGTCGGTGCGGGGTGTGACCTTGCATGCATGGGCCGGCAAAACCGGTCGTTTGGGCTTTCCCCGGACTCCATCTCCCACTCGACATGACGGCAAGCGGCTTCTCGTGTGGGCCGAAGCCGACGCCGCCTCGAGCTTGGCTTGGCGTGGGCCGGCTGTACCGCCAACCAGCATCGCCCGCACACAACGACGTCCAGCCTCTCTGACGCCAAGGTACTTCAACCGCGTTCCAGCAGCACCACTCCCATCAACCTCTCCGCCGCTGCGAACTCCAAGTCGTCCCTCAGCAGCAGGAGCAACAGAAGCAGCACCGACCGAGCCCGCCATGGACCTTTCCCACATCCTCGGAGCCGCTAGACGGACACCTCGCCATGTCTTTCGCAGCTCTGGCTCGGCAGCCCTGCTACCAATCGCCCGGCGCTCGCTCTCGCACACCTACCGCCAGCACCCAACGCTGCGAGCCGATCCATCCGACCCTTCGTCGCCTCTGCTGTCTCGCGTCTCTGGGCCCACAGACAAGCCGCTCTCGGAGCTCACCCTGGGTCAGTTCTGGAAGGAGACCGTCGCGAGCCATGGCGACCGGCAGGCGCTAGTATCGCTGCACGAGCCAGCAACTCAGCATGCCGTCGGCAGCCTGTCGTCCAGCAAAACAGGGGATGGCTGCATCCGATGGAGCTATGCCGACATGGACGAGCACATCAAGCGCCTGGTCGCCGGTCTGAGGCGATTGGGCGTCAAGAAGGGTCAGAGGGTGGCAGTGCTCATGATGTGAGTCCTCATCCGGCGCACCGCTCGTCCGCGTCGCCCTCATGCCTTGTCCTGCTGATCACCGCGGTCCTCGCTCTCCTCTCACCGCTGCCATGCAGGAACTCGTCGGCCTACGGAGCTCTGCAGTGGGCCACGGCTGAGATCGGTGCGATCCTCGTGACCCTCAACCCCGCCTACGGCACCAACGAGCTGCGACGGGCCCTCAAGCACGTCGCAGCCTCGACTCTGGTGTTTGTGCCGTCCCTCAGGACATCCGACTACCTCGCCATGATTAACGAGCTGCTTCCTTCGCTCCACAGCGCAGGCGGCAGCGGCTCAGAGATCGCCGAAGAGTCCCTGCCCGACCTGAAGCGTCTCATCTTGGTCGACAACCTCACCTCGAGGCCGCGGGGCTGGGAGAGCACGAGCCTCTTGTCGAGCCAGGGCAAGTCGTTTGCCGACGCCCTCGACCGTCTCAACAACCGCGCACTCGACTACCGGGACCTGCTCGACGGCAACAGCGCCGGGTTGTCCGACGAGGCAGAGCAGGTCACCAACGAAGACGTTGTCAACCTGTGAGCTCATCGACGCCAGCAGCCGGCGAGGACGATCCCAGCTTCCCAGACGCTGAAGACCTCCTCAAGCACTGCTTTTGACCCCTCCCCTTTCTGCTCGTCAGTCAGCTAACCAGTGGCACTACCGGGGTGAGTTGAGACAGCTCACGATGCCCGCCGTGATGCTGACAGAAAACCTCTGACGATGGTGACACTTTCGCGGCTCCCCTTTGCCTATACAGACGCCCAAGGCCGTGGCGCTCACTTCTCGCAACCTGCTCAACAATGGCATCGCCATCGGCGATACGATGAGGTTCACGGAGAAGGATATCCTCTGCAACGTACCGCCCCTCTTCCGTGAGTTCAGCCCTTTTGTCCAGCCCAAGGGAGCGCGCCGGCTCAGTGCCGTATTGGGTCCGATCGCTGATTCGCCCGCCGATACCCGTATGCCCGCTACGATCAGACTGCTTCGGACTTGTGCTCGGCAACCTGGCTGCCTGGACTCACGGTGCCTCGGTCGTCTACGCGGCAGAGGGCTTCGATCCGATCCGCACTCTACGAGCCGCTTCGCAGGAGCGTTGCACCGCCCTCCACGGCGTCCCGACGCACTTCATTACCGAGCTCGAGGCGCTGCAGGATGTTCAGGACCACGTCCGCGACCCAGAGGCCTATCCGCTTCCCAAGGGCGTCAACGAGGGCGAGTCCTTCACCTTCCCCAACCTGCGCACCGGTCTGACCAGCGGCAGCACCGTTCCGATCGAGCTCATGAAGCAAATCATGGATCCGCACAAGTTCGGCGCCAAGGCGCAGACGGTCGTCTATGGGCAGACAGAGACCTCTCCCGTGACGTTCGGATGTGGTGAGTGCCCCTCTTCTGCGACGCTGACGAAAGCCAGCATCGACCCCTGCACGAAGACGGATGGCAACTAATCCCAGGGAAACCCTTTGTCTGTGTCGACGGCCGGCCCTTTGTTCCTCCCTCTCCTCCTGGGCAGACATCGATGCGCCAATCGAGAAGCGGTGCGAGACGGTGGGCAAGGTCTATCCGCACGTTCACGCCAAGATTGTCGACCCCGAGGACCCCGCGGGCAAGCCTCTGCCGATCGGCGTTCCAGGCGAAATCTGCGTGAGTTTGGCTCGCGGGGCGTAGCACCTCATCAGCCCACCGCATCCGTTCCGTTCTGTTCCGCCCTGCCTCCGTCCTGCTGAGGATATCCGCTCACCGCCCTCGCGCCCTGTTTTCTCGACGCACGGATCGGCGGGTCGCAGACGGCGGGCTACATCCTGATGAAGGGCTACTGGAACGATGAGGCTCGCACCGAAGAGGCCGTTGCGCGGCACCCCGACGAGCCCGACATCCGGTGGATGAAGACGGGCGATATCGGCGTGATGGACGAGGAGGGTTATGTGCGCGTCATTGGCCGGTCCAAGGACATCATCATCCGCGGAGGTACGTCTTCGGCCCGCTCCCGGGTCGGAGAGAGCTCGTCCGACGAGGCTCGTGGTGGTTGAGGCTAACTAGTCTGAGTGTTGCTCCGTCTGCCTCCGTCCACGGCCCCGCCGAGCAGGCGAGAACCTGTTCCCGATCAAGATCGAAAAGTGAGTGCTGCCCGTTCCAGCCATCTCTCTCTGACGGAGGCATCTGAACTAACCTGTAACGATCCTCAACGTTTGCGCGTATTGCTCGCAGCTGCCTCGACCAGCTGGAAGGCGTGGCCAGCAACGCCGTTATTGCGGTGCCGGACGAAAAATACGGCGAGGTGAGCATGCCGACCGAGCCAGGCCAGCCCGTTACGACGTGACTACGCCAGATCGGTCCCGTCCCGGTATCGCTGACACCAAGCATGCTTTGGTGCTCTTTGCATCTGCACCGCATCCAGGCCGTGGGCGTGTTTGTCCTCCGCTCGCACCACTCGAAGCCGGTCGAGGCTGCCGCGATCCGGAGTTTCGTGCGCGAGCACCTCGGCGGCCAGAGCGCACCGCAGTGGGTCTGGTTCCTCGGCGAGAACGGCCTGGCCGATGACTTCCCCAAGACGGCCTCGGGCAAGGTCCAAAAGGTGCGTGCCGCTTCCGTCCCGACCTCTGCCTTTGCGCTTCTTTGGCGCTGACCTGATCCGCCTCGTCCCTTTGGCCGGAACCTTGCTCGTTTTGGCGCTGCTGTGGGCAGGTGATCTTGCGTGACTGGGCAAAAGAGCTGGCGAGCAAGGGCGATGGCAAGGTGCAGCAGGCTCAGGTTGCGGCGTGACCGAGGATGCACCGAGGGACCTTACCACGGCTCAGCCGGCTGGCTCCGTCTCGGAGGAGTCCGAGAATAGCGGGCTGGTGGGACTGGGCAAGGTTCAAGCCCAGCTGCCGGCAGCTCGTTTGTAGTCCGTAGAAGCTCAAGCTTGTGTCCGTCCGACGGATGAGCGCAGGCGCAGGCCAGGCTAGGCTAGGCTAGGACAGAGAGAAACGGACGCAACGCCTAGACATCTGCCAGATGAAACGTACGGCCCAGCTGCGGGTACGCCCCGCCGGCAAACTCCCGGACTAGGCTCGGCCGGAGCTAAATTTGGCTTGCCAACGGCGAGCCGTGTCCGCCGCCACACGACAGTAGGCTAGGGCACAAACAACGCAGGGGACGTGCGCTTGCTCTGCGTGTACGTCGTGGCTTGCTTTGCGAGCTCCCTGCCACGCCACTGTGGACCATGATGCACGAGCCAGTCAGGCGAGGGGTGGCGCGCGTCGTGTGGCGACTCCGAGCCTGTCAACTGGGTACCGGTCCGGATGTGCTGATGCGGCGCCCGAGCCCTTTGTCCTCCGACGCCGGTCCCATCTCTGGACGAGCTAGGCCAGGCTCATACGCCTGCCTGCACGACGAGGATCGAGCGCGCATATGCATGTTGCCGACGGGCGGCGGGGACGCCCTGCCTCTGGCTTTGCCTTCGCTGCCGGCCGCAGTGGGGCGCGACGGGCCTGCATGCCGCGAGCTAGCCCGGCACCGACGCCGCTGGCGAACGGGGGCCATCCGTCATATCGCGCACATCCGGGTCCTGGCGTGCCCAACTGCGCCTCGTCGGACGACATTCAGCCACAACTCGACCGCTTCTGATTGGTCCGAGCCAATTGATTGTCTCGCGACTGGGCCAGCGCAAACACGCGCGTCACTCTGTCGCCGCGCGGAACACGCCCCACGCTCCGCGATCTGGCTTGCACGGGCCCTCGCAGCAGTGCGGAGGGGCGGCGCTAGAGCGGTCCCCTTGGAAGGCTGCAGACGGCGGCAGATGACGAATGGTCAACGATTCCCTAATCTAGACGACGAGAGTGCCGCTACAAAAGCGATTCCGCATTCCATCCCCACGTCTTGCCCCTCAACCCCTGCGTGAGGAAACGAGGTGGAAGCGCGACCCAACCTGCTCACCACGGCGCTCCTCGGTCTCGAGAGGCTGCGTCCAACGAGAAGAGATCGGCCAAACAGCTGCGCAGACCATCTTGGACCTCCGTCCGTCGGCGGCCGGCGGCTCGAGGCGCGTCACCATGTCGCAAGCAGCCATTGAGCTGCGCAGGTCGTGCAGCTTTTGGTAAGTTGGGCCGCCCTCCCACGGCAACCGGTGTGATGTACAGGCGCACCATGGAGTTTATGCAAGTCTTGACGATTCCTCACGCTACCATCGATGGCCCGCGCTGCTACGCACCGTCGACGACAGCCGTCACCGCAAGATGAGGTGAGTACGGGGGCGCTTTGTCGCCTGCCGTGCCAGCCTCGAGTCGTGGCTCTATCTGACCATGCTACCCGCTCTCGCGCCCTCTCCACTTGCCCTGCGTCCATTGCAACCGTGTCTTGGTCTGTCATCAGATGCAGCGGGGTATGTCCGGGCCGGATCGCCTCCACGGAAGGGTCAGGAGCGATCGCTGACCAGGACCCCTCGCCGTCGCCGCTTCGCCGGCTTCGCAGGAGACACCCTGGTGCAGGTCCTGCAAAGAAAGAGCGCAGCCCTGTGAGAAGAGCAAGAAGGCTACTCAAGGACTCGACGCCCAGCGAACGATGCAGCTGACGCGCAAGCGCTTCCCTTGATGCTATTGCGAGCCGTGACTAGGTCTCTACGAGGCGAGCATACCGAGGGCACGACCGCGACGCCAGGTCGACCCGGCCATGACCTTTCCCTTTCTGTCAAAGGCACTGGCAGGGCCATCGGCACCAACGCTCGACTTCTTCGGAGGCTTACTAGACTGCCTGTTTAGGGTGCGCACCCTTGAAAGCCACGGACATGCGATGGGGGAAAGGTATCTGACGACGCCGCCCCCGCCGCCCTCTTCATCCCATCTGATCCCATCCCAGGTCTTGTGGGAGCCGCAGACGGTCCTGTCCGTCAAGCACCAGACGCTCATCACAGAGTCGCACCAGGCGACTGCCTCTTCCGAGCCAGTGGTGGGTCTCAAGTCGCCGCACGACCGCCTTCGCCAGGGCGGCGGGCGCTCAAACGGGTTCCGCTACTCGTCTTCCTCCCCGACAGGTGCTTCCATTCGATGGCACGCTCATGCTGATGTTCTATGAGACGGCGGAGATGCTGGTGCGTGTTCGTCTCTTTGGCCTCCCTTCGCTGGAGACGAGCTGATTGTCCAACACCTTTGGCAAGGCACCACTCCGCAGGTCGACAAGATCTCTCCCCTCGGTCGAGCCCTCAACCACCAGCAACGTCGTCCACGCTTCATCGAGGCCCTCAGTCGCGACAGCACGCAGTTCATGTTCGACGAGGATCCGACCTCTTGCACGAGGTGCGTCATGCATCCTCGCGTCTCGAGCGGGCCCCCTGCTACCAGCTGACGGCCACACCTGCAACTTGCACTCCCGCAAACAGCGATCGGGACCTGATCAAGGGCCTCGAACAGCAGCGGATCCTCGACCTCATCGATTTCGCATTTACCCATCATCCGTTTCTCGGCATCATCTGCTCAAAGACGGTGAGTTACGTGGTCCCGTAGGCCTCGCCGCGTGGGCGTGTGCATGCTGACCGCCGCCTGAGTTCATGTCCGGCAATCTGGATGGCACAGCTCTTTCTACGCGACTACAACGCCGAGACGCTGGACAGCTGCCTGCTGCATGTCGTCCTCGGCGAGGCTCTCTCGCTGATGGCTATCAAGGCCAAGGCGGAGCACGGTGCGGCTACACTCTCCGACAGCGAGCTGTCCCATGACGCATTCGTATCGGAAGCCATTGCCCTGCTCAGCAGGAAAAAGAGGCTGGGTCTCGGCGAGGACGAGATGCTCAGGACAATGCAGTCGGTCGTGCTGCTGGCATGGCACATGCTCTATACGGGCAGGATCAAGTGAGCGCGATGGTAGCGAGACCGTTGCCGGAGCTCTGCCTCGACTGACCAAACCCTTTTCCCCACCCGCCAATTTGCGCAGGCGCTCAATCGTCCTGTTCGGGATAGCCACCGACTTGGTCCGACGAGTGGTGGCCGAGCGTGAGTTCGACAGTACCTGGTCGGCGCGGGTCAACGGCATCTCCACCGACGACCTCGCCGAGGAGGTCCTCTTCGCGATGCACTGGATCGTACAGAGCGCGACTCTGTGGGCAAGCCTGCACCTCGACCTGGTCATCTCCGACCTGTTCGGCCCCACAATCCAAGGCTACTACCCCCCGCTCGACCTCAAAGGCTCCAAGGTCTGGACGCTCGACGTCATCTCGGGTTCCATATCCGCCGTCGGGAGGCAGGCCAAGACCACCGCGAGGGTGCGCATCCTCTCTCATGGCTACGGTCTCGCCTCGAGCATCTTTAGCATCCTCCTCGCCGATGGCCTCGCTTCGGCCTCATCCTTGAGCCAGGGTCGACCGACCTGGCGATCCACGACGGTCATGCACCAGCTGCACGCCTGCCTGCCTCGCATACTGGAGGAGGCGCGAAGCGCAGTGCCCGAGACGCACAAGGCGCTCGAGGGCTACGTGGCGGTTCAGACGTACCATGAGCTTCTCGCCCTTCGTATCCTCTTTGAGGCCCCATCGATGCGGGATCCCAGCCGCTGGCCCGCAGGCAAGCCCATCGACCGTGACGCCGTTCTCCAGGTCATTGAGATATCCAAATCACTAGTGGGCCAAGCCGTCCAGATCACCTCGATAGGGGGGGCCGCTCCGGACGAGAGCGAAAGCCCCCGAGATGGCAGCCACCTGCACCGGGAAGAGCTTCTCTATTCGACGGGAAGCGGCGCGCCTCTTTGGTGCACGGCCTTCATGGTGTTAGCCATCGACACGGCAGCACGGGCGCTCGAAGTCATCCTGACCAAGGCGGGGATCATTGTCTGCACGGGAGCTCTGCCGAGCGACATCGAGGGCACCTACGACATCGACGAGGAGGCAAAGGACCTGACTTACGGGCGCGTCGGAAAGGTGGCCGCCATCCTGTCTCGGTTCTACCAGCTCCTCCGCTCGCCCACCTTCGAGTGCAACATGCGTCGCAGCGTCAAGCGCCACTGCAAGGTCCTGCTGCTCGCCCTCGAGGCGCGAGGCGTCGACCCGGACAGGACAGAGTCGCTACCGGGCATGCGCGACCTTGAAGACGGCAAGCTGCCGCAGAATGTGTCTCCGATGCAAGGTCAGCCCGACCGCGCGCCCGAGCAAGCGGCATGGAGTCACAAGAACTGTCCGCCTGCCACGATCGAGGGCCCGACGAAGATTCATGGCCCGCTTCCAGCATCGGCATGCCCTGACAAGGATGAAGAGATGGCCTTGCTGGTGCTGCCGCAGCCAAGGGGCTTTGGACCGATGCCGGCAAGCCGCGTGGATCCGTTTGGAAGGTCATTCCGATCGGACGAGATCGATCCCCAGCCCACCCAGGCGCTGGGTCCTCTCGGTATAGCAGGCGGCCCGCGTCGCCACACCATCTCGAGCTTCAACGGCGCCGACCAATGCCCCAGCTCGCCCTCGCAACGCTTCCACGCCATCGGCCGGACCCAGGACGGTTTTGTCGGTCTCGACCCTCTCGCTCCCGCTCGATCCGATGCCGACCACCTGGCTATGGCCGGGGATGCAGGCTACGCTAGTGTCAGCACCAGCGCGAGCAGCCAGGACAGCTGCGACCAGTGGCGTACGATCGACGAAGGCGAGGCGGCGGGGCGAAGACGGAGCGCCGGCGCCGTCCCCGGCTGCGACGTCCCTCTCTTGCGGGAGCCGATCCCGCGTCGCCCGTGGATCGAGGCAACGTCTCAAGGCTTGCCGCACCATCATCTCTTCACGTCTCGGACCCTTCCGCAGGCCCAGCCGACCGGATTCCGCGTCTACCCCTCGACGATCTTTAATGGCGCTGCCGCGCAAGGCTTTGACGGCGACAAGGCTTTCTTTCGATCCTCTCTGCATGGCGCTGCGCCTGGTAGCGGTGGCGAGACGGCGTGGTGGCCCGCGCCGGGCTCTGGTTCAACCCTCGGCCCGGTGAGGGACCCGATCTTTGGCGACGGGTCCCAGGATAGCAGCAGCAGCAGCGTTCGTCGCTCTGACGGCGGTGGCGAGGGCGTGCACGCCTCTACCTTCCAAGCGTCGCCTTTCGGCGTGGGACTCGACCACAGCGAGAGCTTCGCAGACGCTGCTGTTGCCGGAGCAGGGGTTGGCGCTGTCATATGGAAGGCCCCTGCTGAGGCCAAGACGGCTCCCCATCGCGATATGGCGCCGCCCTTCTGGCGTCCTGCCGCCGAAGTCGAGCAAGACGGCTACGGAGAGTGAGACCCAACGGCAGGCTGCTCGGCGTCACCATCGTCTCGACATCCTCACCGCGCTCTTCAAGCCATCGAATCCCCTTTCGGCCACGCAACTCACGTCTCAGATACACGGCCGGCCGGCCAAGGTATAACGCCTAGAACAGGATGGATTCATCAAAGCCTCATCAACGGGCAGTCGTATAGACAAGCCGGCGGTTGGCGTCTTCTTCGATGCGGAAAAAGACGGCGAAGACAGGGCTGCAAACGCATCCGAATGACGCTGCTTCATCGGACTGAGGGCAGAACGGTGCCCCGCCGTGGTATTCTCTTTCAAAGGTATCGTCGAATGGTATCGTCGAACGGGCTGGTGGCCAGGTCGTGTCGTGCGGGGATGGACCGCGCTGGGCTGCGGTTCGGGCTGAGTCGTGAGTCATCGTCGCTGGATGCCATGGCCGTCGCATCACATCTGGGTGAGCTGGTTGATGCTAGCGGCGTCCTGGACCGAGAGGCCGCCGGAGCGGGTGGCGCTGGTCGAGGCGGCGGCGGGACCAGCCGACGAGATGGGCTCGACGCCCTGGCTGTTGACGAGGGCCTGAGCGCCGGGGCCGTCGAGGTTCATGGGCACGAAGACGACCTTGGAGTTGGCGGCCTTTGCCATGGCCTGGAGCGCCTCGAGCTGTCGGATCTGCATGGCGGCGGGCGAGGCGAGGATGTCTGCGGCCTGGCGCATGAGGCGGGCGGCGTCGACCTCGGCGCGCGCGGCAATCACCTTGGACTCGCCGATGCGCTTGCTCGTGGCGGCCGAGCTCAGGCTCTCCTGAAGCTCCTTGCTGAAGATGATGTCCTTGATCAGGATGCTCTCGACCTGCACGCCCCACTTTTCCGCGACGCCCTCGACAATCTCCTCGATCTCGGCCGCCACCTGCTCGCGGTCCGAGATGACGCTCTGCAGCGTCCGGCTGCCCACGACGTGGCGCAACGTCGTCTGCGCACGCTCCACCAGCGCCGCCTTGACGTCGCTGATGCCGTACGCTGCGCGGTACGGGTTGGAAATGTGCCAGTAGACTGGGCGGGGCCGGATCGAGGTCAGAGGAAAGGGGTGGGGGGGCAGATGGGACGAAATGAAGTCAGCCTCGGGGCAGGCAAGAACCAATTGAGATGTCGGCGCAAAAACGAAGCAAGGGTCCTCTTCTTCCCCGCACGGCCAGGGCGCGCGGGATTTCCTCTTTTCGCGCCTTGGACGCGATTTCTTCGCCACCTCTTACACCATCGCTCCGTCTCCTTCGTCTGCAATACTGACTGATTGAATCGATGTTTGTCGACACGTTATCCTTGGTCATGACCGTTTGGGAGGGGATGGGGCTGATCTGGATCTTGACGTCGACGATGCGGAGCGATTCGGAGCAGGGGTTGATCTGGACCAGGCCGGGGTCTTCGGCGCGGTAGGCCTTGCCGAAGCGCGAGACGAGGCCGACGGAGCCCTGCTGGATCTCCTTGAACGGGTTGGGGCAGCAGAAGCAGCAGGGGATCTGGCCAAAGAAGCCGGCAAAGGCGCCGATGCCGTTCATCATGGAGCCGTAGAAGCCGTGCTCGACGTCCTCGAGGCCGAGGTTCTGCTTGTACGAGGGCTGCATCTCGGAGCGCGAGAGGGGCTGTACGGTGATGACGCCGCTGTTGCCAGGGCTGGTGTGGGTGGCCTTGGCGCGCTGTGCGGCGGCGGTGGCGGCGGCGGTCGAGGCGGGCATGGTCGAGGAGCCCGAGCCAAAGTCGCCGTCGATGTCGGTCGAGGCGCCGGCGGTGGCGTCGTGCTTGGCGTTGTCGGACATGGTTGTAGGGCTGCGCTGGTGTTGGGTTTCCTGGTACGGTGTGGCGCTCAGGGGGTGAGGGCGGGAACGGACGAGGACAAGGAGCGACGTCGATGAAGGTGATTGAAGGGAAGGCAAGGAGGCGGAGGCTGATACGGCCCGCACCCTTTACTGGGGGGGGCTTTTTAAAGCTTTCCTGTGGAAGTGGGCCGATGGGGTAAGCTGCCTGCCTGGTTGCAAGCAGCGCATGCTATGCCTGTGGAGCGGCAGCCGGCGCATGGCCCCACAAGCAAGCACCCACGAGCGCCTCGCCAAAGGCCGGCAGCCGTGCGTGCCGAAACGACGGCGACGTGGGCGCTCGGCTCTGCTGCTTGGCATCGTACGCGTCGGCAGCCTCTTTTCTCTCCACATCCCGCCTCGACTGGCCAGGCCTGGCTTGGCAGGGCGGGCAGGCAGCCCGTGCCGCTTGCGTGTACGCCGCGGGGATGGGCTTGGCATTGGCATCAGCTTCCATCACCATCACCCGAGCGTAAGCAGCAGCAGCAGCAGATAGAGACATCGAGGCCGTCCGTCATGGTCAGACACCCTCGCGAGCAGCCGGATCGACAGTCATCTCGGCATTCGCTCGTTCGGTCCGACAAGGCCCCCAGCCAGCAATTGGGTAGCGAGCGAGCAAAGAGACAGCCAGCCCCGCCCTGCCTCATCTCCTAGTCGAGCTTTCCGTCTCCTTCGAGCTCTCCTTCTAATTCGACCTGTCCGTGCCCAAGGAGAGCTCCACGAGCCTGGCAGACCTCTTCGCATCTAACCGTTTCGAGTCGCTATCTTATCGCCTCCGCTCGCATCTGGCACTGGTTGCGTCCCTGCCGAAAAGCGAGCGGCATCTGCGTAGCATGTCGCTTCATGCCATGAAATCGGGCTGTGCAGGCTTAGGGCTTGGCCAGGTCGCATCTTCCATCGCTCCGAAATGCTGTCGAACTGCCATCGCCAAGAAGAGACCCCGACTCCAGCTGGCGATGATCTCTGCACATCTGCTCCATCCCCGAATGCTCGCCCACTCGTCGCCGGCGAGGGGCTCCGAACCGCCCAGTCGAATGCGCCCCAAGAAGCGCGAGTCAGGAGGTGATGGGCAAATCACACCGCGGTCGAGCAGCTAGCACGCCACGCCGCTGTCGCTGAATTCAATAGAAGTGACCTCGCCTCGAAAGACGGACGCTGCGCCCGCGTCGATGATTGCGTCGCACGCTGTGACGACAACGGCGCCAATGACTACCGCCCCGCCTCGCCGCCCCTTTACGCGGCCACCTCGCGCTGCGCCTCGGTCGCAACGGCAAACACGTCGCCCCGGTCGAGCAGGCCCAGGCTGGCCTCGCGCACGCGGGCCAGGTAGTCTTGCAGCAGGTTGCGCTCCCGCGTGATAAAGTCGAGGTAGATCTTGAACCTCTCGTCGGCCACGAGCTCCGACAGCTTGAGCGCCAGCCCGAGGTTGGCCGGCACCACCTCGGCGCTCTGCACCAGCATCTCGTGCAGCCGCAGCACCGTCTCGGGAATGTAGATGTGGCGGATCCGGTCCAGCTCGTCGGCGCGCCGCTCGGCGTCGAGGTCCTCGACGCCAAAGTCGAGCTTGAGCCAGTCCATCTTGAGCAGCTCCGTGTCGAGCCGCCGCGACTTGTCCACAACCGACGTCAGCGCCTTGATCCAGTCGAGCCGCTCCAGCCGCGCCGACGACGACGACGCCGCCGCCGCCGCCCCCTGCGGTAGTGGCGCCGGCTTCGTCGTCCAGAACTCGCGGTAGCGCACGCTGGCGGCAAAGGCGTCGAAGAACGTTCGCCAGTGGACGTGCTCCACCGCCTGGTCCTCGGGCAGGCCCAGGTCCGACACCTGCGACAGCACGTCGTACGGCAGGCGCAGCAGCAGCGTGCGCGCCGCATGCAGCCGCCCCGTCGAGAGAAACAGGCGCATCAGGGCGTTGCTCTGCAAGATGGCGTCGGCAAACGTGGGCTCGCAGAACGTGAGCCAGTCGATGCAGCCGATCAGCGCCTCCTCGTTGGGCTCGAGCTGCGTGTCGAACTGCGTCACGCCGAAAGGCCCGTCGATCGAGACCGTCGAAAAGAGGTCGTCAAACACCATCGACACGGTGCACCTCGCCACCGCCGCCAGGTCGAGCTCGTGCTCGTGCGCCCGCATCAGCGCCTCGCGCTTGGCCTCGACGCTCGTGTTGACGTCCATCGACTTGAGGAAGTGCGCGTAGCTCACCGTCGCGCTCTGCGGCTCGAGGCTGCTGGCATACATGGCCACCAACGAGTCCTCGCCCGCCAGCTCGAGCACCTGGACGTAGGCCGAGAGGATGCCGTTGCACGCCAGGTCCGGCAGGGGCTGCTGCAGCAGGCGGAAGTAGAGGATGAGGTGGGCAAAGAAGCGCAGGATGCGCGCATACTTTGACGGCTCCAGCGACAGGCGCATCTCGTGGATCCGGCCCGCCAGCCGGCTCAGCAGCTCCGGCACGCTGTCCGAGATGATGGCGCGCTGCACCACGTGGAAGGGGTCGGCGGCCTGGGCGTGGATATCGTGCGCCTGGGTCTGGGCGAGCCGGTCAAAGATGGCGTCGAGGCTGAGCGTCTCCTTGTCGTACGTGCTGCCCTCGGACAGCTGCACGGCGCCGCACTCGGCATCGCCAAACGCATCGACGTCGGGCTCCTGGCTCCACCAGCTCTTGGTGGCGTCGAGCTTGGCGTCGATGAGCGTCTCGAGCTTGGCATTGATGTGCGCCCACAGGTACTCTTCCCACGTCTGGCTGACCTGCGTCACCGATTGCAGGTCGCCGGCCAGCGAGCCGTAGAGGGCGCGCTCGAACTCGTCGAGGTTCGGGTTGGACGCCAGCTTGCGGCATACGGCTTTCCACAGGGCGCGGTGGCGATTGCCGATGGGGCTCTCGAGCTCCTCGAGCGCCGGCGACACGGTGGGGTCGTGGTAGAGCATGGCGCCCCTCAGCGAGGCAGCCCTCCAGCTCTGATCCGTCTGCCGGCACAGATCAAAGGCCGACTCGAGCTGGCCCGCCCTCGCGTACTCGAACAGGTTGCGCAGCAGCGCCTTTTCGTACGTGGCATCCTCGAGCTCGAGGCCGCCCTGGCTGCGAGAGGTGGCATCGGGATCAAGCTGGGCGACGGCCTTTCCCCTGGACTTGGCGCCCAGGCCCGAGCCCGCCGCCGAGCCAAAGGGAACCCGGTTGGCGCCTCCACCGCTCCCCGCCCGCTTCTCGGCACGGAGGCGGTTCTTGGTGAAGGTCCAGTAGCCCTTGCGTACCTCGACGATGTGCTTCGGCGGCAGCGTCTCCTGCAGCCACTCGCGTATCAGCTTGAGCTCGGTAAGCTCGTCATCCTTTTCGAGTATGGACTGTATCGCCACGAGCGGCGTATCGTAAGGGTTGGCTGCGTCAGAGTCTTGCGGGTCGAGGTCGGCGGCCGCCTGTTTTCGCAGCAGGCGCTCCGCCGTGAGGGTGTGCAGCAGGGTCCACGTGTTGTGTTCGAGCATCCAGGACTGTCGGTCGTCGTCGTCGAGGTTCTGGCTGTTGGCAGAGTAGGTGCCCGCGTCGTCGAGGGCGTCCTGGGCCCTCTGCGCGCACGTCTCGGCGAAGAGGAGGGCGACGCCGCGGTTGGCATCGACCCTCGCCGCCACGTCGAGGTGCTTCGACGCCTGCAGCACGTGCGCGAACGCAGAGAAGCTAGATGCCGGGTCGAGGGCCATCGAGCTTGATGCGCCGAGGTTGCCGCCGTGGGATGCGGCCATGACCATGACAGGCCGGTGCGGACGGCGAGGCTGTGGACGTGGGTCGAGCCGAGGTCGGGCAGCGGTGCCGGGCGAGTAAACGGAGCCACTCAGAAGAGGCGAGCGGCGGGTCACTGATGGCGGCGGCGGTAGGTCGCAGATGTCGGAGAGCGAGCGTGCTGTGACTGGTGCTGTGCGCTGAGCAGGCGCGGAGCGAGGAGCGAGGGGCGAGGATGAGGATGGAGAGGGATGGGGTGATGCGGTGTGAAGGGTGGCAGGTCGGGCTCAAAGGGTACGGTAGGTGTTGGCTTCGCGCCAACCAAAATTGGCATCTGGCGCGTCCAGTCGGCCGAGTGAAGCTGCGCCTGCCGCCCGCCCGTCCCTCCCAAAAGTCTCGACGCCGACGCCGTCGCCGCCACCTCGGGTTGCCTGCCTACCACCACCATCCACTTGCCCTATATCCGAAGACGACTCAGCGCCGCCGCAAGGGTTTCTTTCGCACAGCGTTCCTTTGATCTCCGCTTCGATCTCTGAACATTGCGATACCAGCACGTCCAGGTCTTTGCTGCCGACCCGCCTTGACTGTCGGGCCGCCAACGACTCTGCACGCAACCTCTGCTGCTTGCTCAGATCGATCCGCTTTCAATCGCTACCGAAACGCACCCTAGACGCTGTCGAGTCCGACGGTAGAAGGCAATCGGTCACTCCCCCACCCTCGTCTGCCTTGTGCTCGACGACGGCCTCTCTCTGCGTCGCACGGGATTGCTCCTCGACTCGAGGCTCCCGAATCGACCGACTCTTTGCGCTACCCTGCTCCGTCCCGACGAGCGAGGCCGGCACAGCTTCAAGTCGACCGCGTCACCGGAGTGAAGCTCGATCCTAGGCACGATGACGACCGACCTGGCGAAGCCCACACCGGTTAGTAGCATGGCTGTGTCCCCTATCGTCCCGTGTGATCGGCGCTACGTCTCCAGTGGAGGAGCACGCGGCATGGCTCTCTGCTTGCCGGGCGGCATAGGCATGGTCGCGGTCTGTGATGTCTGAGTTGGCCTTGATTGCTGCTTGCAGAGGCTCATGCCGGCTCGCTTCTCCATCAACTCGACCCCGGCGCGGTCCCCTCCTGACAGAACGCCTTTGCGCAGCCGTTCGCGCTGAGCGCACGGTATGCCGCCGACCGCGGCGCTGCGCCAAAGGGCGAGGATGACTTCGTGCCGGACCTCAACGTGCGGCTCATCTGCCGCGACTGCAAGATCGACCCGCCAAACCTCACCGAGGAGTTCGACAGCGGCGACCTCGTCTGCTCCGACTGCGGCCTGGTGGTCGGCGAGAACATCATCGACACCCGATCAGAATGTAAGTAGCCAGCGGTTGGCTGATCCCGAGGCTCGCCAGCTCTGGACAAGGGCGCAGCTCGGCGCACGGCAGCAGCTGACATTCATGACCCCGCATCTTGTCGCTTCCGACCCTGTGGCGCACCGCAGGGCGAACCTTTGCCAACGAGGACGGCGACGACCCTTCGCGTGTCGGTTCGGCGGGCAACCCGCTCCTCGACGGCATCAACGAGCAGCTCGAGTCGCGCATCGGCCATCGCGACGGCGGATCGGGCGCCTCGCGCGACCTGCTGCGCACGGCGGGCCGGGCGACGGGCAGCCGGGACCGCAACATGCTCGACGCCTTCGAGGACATCCAGCGCAAGTGCGACTCGATCCACCTCCCGCGCAGCGTCTCGGACGTGGCCAAGCAGGCCTATCGCCGAGTCGAGGAGGAAAAGATCCTGCGCGGCAAGAAGCCCGACGCCATCATCGCCGCCGCCATCTACGTGGCGTGCAAGATGAGCCACGTGCCGCGTACCTTCCCCGAAATCTGCTCCCTCACCAGCGTGTCGAAGAAGCACATCGGTCAGTGTTTCAAGGAGATGCAGCAGGCCTTTGGCCTCAACGCCACGGGCACCGGCTCGGTCGACGGCTCGCGCGCCAACGGCGACGGCGGCTCCGGCACCTCGACGCCGCTCGGCATCGGCCCCACGGGCGCCGCCGACCTGGTGGGACGGTACTGCAACCACCTCGGCCTCGAGATGCCCGTCGTCCGCTCCACCGAGGACATCACGGCCCGCGTGCGCGAGCTCGGCGTGCTCGCCGGCCGCAGCCCGATCACCATTGCCGCCGCGTGCATCTACTTTTCCACGATGCTCTGGGGCATCAACAAGGGCGCAAAGAAGATCAGCCAGGCCGCAGGCGTCAGCGACGTCACGATCAAGAACTCGTTCAAGGAGCTCCTCAAGCACAAGGAGGCCATCGCCACGCCCGAGATCCTCAAGAAGAGCCCCAAGATGGATCTCTCCCGCCTGACCCTCTAGCGAAGCGCGTGCATGCGGGCGGACAGCGCCGTGGCCGGCCCTCGTGCGCGTGAGAATCGGGCGAGCGTCGATGTCGCCCACGGCGCCTTGTGCGGTCCTGACCGCAGCAGCCTCGGGCTTGATTGTATTGAGAAGAGCCTCTCGTCGCCTTGATCTGACCGCGACGGCGCCCCGAACCTGCACTCAAGGGTCCCCCCTGTCTTGACGAGAACTCTGTCTATTGACTGAAAGGGCGCTCCTGCGGTGAGATCTTGTTGCACAGGAGAGAGAAGTGCCAGAGGACACGTCTCAAGACTGGCTTCTGCCTCTGCCTGACCATCAATGCCTGTCCTCCAGAGAGTGAGCTGGGAGAAACACAAACATCAGCATCATATTCACACCCTCCCAGCCCCCAAATGAGCCACCGTGTCGTGCTCCAGGTGGAAAGAGTTGAGACCCTGTTGAAACACTCTAGAAACGTCAACATCCGACTCCAATCTGACTGCTCCAAGCATCATTGCATGCCTGAAGGGCAAGACTAGCAGATGAAGGGCACAAGCAGCAGCAGTCAGACAAGGCTCTCAGGCCCGTTTTCCCAGCCTCGCAGACGTCACGCGGTGGAGTACTCTCGCGAGCGCGGCAGCTTCGATTCACGGTTGCGCATCGAGACGCGTCGAGCTCGAAAGGGCGAGGGGAAGGAGGAAGAGGATGCACGATAGATGGGCGAAGTGTGGAGGATCGAGGTTGGCGGAGCAAAAGAGGGCACGATAGATGAGGGGCGAAGGGAAGGTGGGTGGTGGCGGAGATCGAGGGAAGAAAGGACGAGGGCGGCCGTCCCGACGGGTCCTCGGGACGGCGCAGCAACCACGGTCGCGCCGCAATCAGATACCGGCGCACTGTCCGGCCTGCGCAGCGGCGGTGAGGGCGCCCTGGCACTTGCTGTTCTTGAAGTCGAACTTGAATCCGGCCTTGTTGAAGCCAACGGGTGGCTTGTTGCAGCTCTCCGATGCGAAGTTCGAGGCCGGGAACTTGTAGTCGTCCTTGCGCTGGCATTGGGAGATTGCCAGAAGGCGCGCGGGACATGCGACGCGTCGGGCCCTACGCTCGATCCAGGGGTTGTTGGGCAGGTCGGCAATAAAGTAGCAGCCCTTCTTCATGCAAACGTTGTTGCGGACGAGGGAGTCGCACTGGTTGTGAGACTGGGCCTTCATTCCGCCAAAGTTCTTGGTGTCGAGCCAGGCGGCGCCCGGGTACTGGGTGGGGCAGCCGAGCATGTTCTCGCCCATGCCGGCGGTGGGGGTGAGGAGGTCGATGTCATCCGCCTGTGAGAGTCGACGACGAGCGGGAGGGCACGAAGCTCAGTCAGCGACAAAGCCTTACGAAGGAAAGACGCGGTGGCGGCAGGGCATCGCGTGGCGCACTCACCTTGTCGAGGCCGCCGACGGACGTGACCTGGTAGATGATGTTCTTCGAGGTCCAGCGGTGGACGTCCTCGGGGAGGCCCCTAGCCTTGAGCGTGGTCTCGTAGCAGGCGCACTCGGTGTCGGCCTCGGAGTGAAGGTTGCCGCTGATGGCCGTGAAGCCGAGGATCGTCTGTCCGTTGGCGTCGGTGAAGGGGGCCATGTCGGGGCAGGTGTAGGTGAGGTCGCCAGAGGCGCCGGATCCGCACGCCGACTTCATCGACCACGTGTTGGGAATCTGCTGGCCGGCCTTGTTGCACACCTTGACCGGGTTGTAGACGTCTGCCTTGCCCGACCACGATCCGGACTGGATGCAGCAGTCGCTGCAGAGGGGAGCGGGTTAGCAGGAAAGGACGAGGATGGGACGGTGTCAGCACGAGCGATGGCGACGGGAGAGAGAGTTCATAAGCATCGGTGGCCGTGCAGGAAAGCAGACTGGATTGAGATGGAATGATGCGGCTATAGCGCGACACGACGGGGATGAATGCTTCGAGCGCGCGAGCGATTGAGGAACGAACGATGTGATGAGAGAGAGATGCGAGAGAGGGAGAGATTCGAGGACAGAGGGAGAGATGCGACGAGGATGCTGGCTACACTCGGCTGACGAAGGAACGGAGGCTCGATGCACCAGGCATTTCGCAAACGTTTTCCACCGCGAGGAGCAATGTGCCACGGCCCAGAAACCAGACCAGGGGCAGGTGCGGCGACGTCGACGTCGACGTCGATGTCGATGGGGATGTCGATGTCGATGTCGATGTCGAGGACGACGAAGGACGAACGCACGGACAGACGGACGAGGATCGGTCCAACGGCCGACTCACTTGTAGTTGGTCATCCAGGCGCCACGGTCACGACGCTCCATCTTGAGGGTAGCGTTGTTCTTGGTGGGCTGGGTGACGGCACCGCTGTCGCACTTGCCCGGAGCGGCGCTCTGGCCGCCCGTGCCCTGGTGTCCGTGGTGCTTGACGCCGTGGCCCTGGTGACCGTGGTGCTTGGGGCTGGGAGCCTGGCCACCCTGGACCGGAGGGACGACAGCGCCGGTGCCGTTGGACGAGGAGCCAGGGACGACCGGCGCGCTGCCGGCCTGTCCGTTACCGCTAGCCGAACCAGGAGCAGTGACGCCACCGGCCTGGCCAGCACCACCAGTCGAGCCAGTCGAGCCGGTGGAGCCAGTCGAGCCGGTGGAGCCAGTCGAGCCGGTGGAGCCAGCCGAGCCGGTGGAGCCAGTCGAGCCGGTCGAGCCAGTCGAGCCCGAGCCGGTAGCGGCACCGGCACCGGCACCGGCACCGGCGCCAGTGGCGGGAGCAGTCGTGCCGGTGGCCGCGTTGTTCCTGGGGTTGGACGAGGCGGCGGCGCTGCCACGCTTGAAGCCAGCAGTGACGGCCTGGTTGGCGCTGGCGACCTTGAGGGTGCTGGGCTGCTGGCTCATCTCGTCCTTGCGGAGGCATCCCGAGCGCTGGATGAGGCTAGCGGGGCATCGGACCCGCTTGGGCGTACCGTTGATGATCGGGTTGTCACCCCAGTTCTCGAAGCGCCACTTGCAGCCGGGCTGGAGCGGGTTGGGCAGCTTGCTGCACGAGCCCTCGTCGCCGACGCCGCCGTACTGCTGTCCCCAGCCCGACGTGTCGCCCCACTGCTTCTGGCAGCCCTGGGGGAAGGCGCCGACGCCGCCGCCGGGGATCTGGATGTCGATGTTGCCCTGGTTGACGTCGCCACCGATGTTGACGGCCTGGAGAATGATGTTCTTGGCAACCTTGCCGCCGGTGACGCTCACTTCGTAGCACGAGCAAGACGTCTCGCGCTCGTTGTTGGACGGGAAGGCCGCGTAGGCGAAGGCCACGGACGGGTTCTCAGAGTCGCTGAACGGCTGCAGGTTGTTGCACAGGTACTGCTCACCGCCGTTGCACGACGACTGGCCGCTGTCGCGGGCGGAGTCGGGGATCAGAGTGACTCCGTCCTTCTGGCAGATGTCGAGGTTGCTGACGAGATCGGCCTTGCCGCCCCAGGCCGAGGAAGGCTTGCAGCAGTCCCAGTAGCGGGTGGTCATGGAGGCGTTGGCGACGTTGACCGCCGAGGCCAGGGCCACGGCAAGGAGGACGAAGGAAGCGCGGACAGTCATCTTGGAACGGGCTCGATGAGGCTAGAGCGGGCGAGGTGGTCGGTCCGACGAGGAGACGGTGAGTCTGGTCCTGTCTGTCAAAGACACGCGACGGAGACGGCGAGAGGTTCTGGGGCAAGAGGAGGAAACAGCAAGCTCTCTCCTGTCGAAGAAGAAGAAGCGGCTGAGGAGCACGATTGCAGGCAGGCCGGCTGCTGAACGAGAGAGGAGAGGACGAGAGACTGAGAGTCGAAAGAGGGGGAGATGGAGCTGTGGGAGAGGATGAGGATGGCGAGACGATTGGGGGCTAGGGTGGTTGCTCGCGTTTTATAGCCAGCGACAGGGCCGGGGGCCGTCCCAGCATCTCCGCCGCTTCATCGAAGTGGGCCGCAACGGTCCGGAGGGGTGAAGTCCTCGCCCTGACACGAAGCGCAGGACCGGCGAGTGGGCAAAGGTCAGGGGCAGCTGTGGGCTCACGGCGGGGAGGGATCGTCCGCATCCTCGGTGAAGGGCAGACGGAGCGCAGCCCCGAGGCAGCCAGAACAATGCGACCGTCCGGGCGTGGGCAGCGTTGTCGAGTGTGCCCACGGTGTTACAGGTATCGACGGTGCTGTACATACACTGTAGTAGTCACGGCCTCATTGCGGACGTGACGGCACGGACAGCCGTGCCAGGCAACCGCCGCCTCGTCGAGCATCGGCGAGCGGCGAGCGGCGAGCGGCGAGCGAGAGGGAGTTCCATCGTCCACGGAGAAGCATCCTTGGTCTAGCTCGATGATGCGCAGCCAGCCTGCAGCAGCAGCTAGAACGGTGGCCGGCAACCTTCAGGAACGGCTCGGTCGCTTCGAGAGGGGCCGAAGCGAACCGAAGCAAGGCAGGCAGGCCGGTTGTTGGCCGGCCTAGGTCGAGCTTCGGTGTACGACAACACGAGGGCAGCGAAGGAGGCGGGACTGTGCCCTCGTACGCAACGTGGCGGTGGTGGCGGCGCCCGATGACCTGATTACCGACGGTATTGCAGGGGGACGCTGCAGCGAACGAGGCTGATTGGCACCACCGATTCGGCGAGGGATCGAGGCGAGGTGCCTGGCTGGCTGCCTGTGCGAGGGGTCTGAGCGTGGTGACCGGGGCTGTACGTGCGAGGTGGCCTTTCGCCCGTTGATGAACGGCAGCTTGTTGCGTGGCACAGGCAGGCTGGTCGCGCCTCGAAGGTGGTTGCACGGCAGCAAGCCGTGCGGCGGGCGCAAGCAGCGAGCAGCTGTCAACGGTTGTTGGGCGTAACAGGCAGGCGGGCACAGGCGGGCAGGCAGGCAGGGGGGCGTTGCACGAATCCTGCGCGGCCCGAACGACGGCCGAACGCTTTTGCACGGCGCGCGGCCATCGAACGCGCGCTGTACGTCCACTCTGTCCCCTCGTTGCCTAGCTACGCCAAAGCTGCGCGCCGGCATACATGGTGACCCATCGATGTATCGTCCTGGTTCCACGACGTCGGACAAAGGTACGGCCCTCGACAAGCTCGACCTGCCTAGGTCAGTCTGCTGTACCCATGCCCAAACGAGCGCTTCCCGTGGACTAGGCTCGCAGCTAAGCTCAGGCTATTCGACCGACCGGAGATCTCTGCGTCGAGATCAGCAGCACGCCGGCCCACCTGCCCATCGCGTACCTTTGCTCCGGGTAGCCTAGCCTAGCCTGTGAGTTAGGTATGCCTGCCTGCGGCCCTGTCTTCGATCGTTAAGCTCCAGTGCCGAGGGTGGCTGCCGTTGCACAGACAGACGCGTGCCGCCGCCGTCGTCGTCGTCGCAGCACCCTCACCATACCTACCGTACCATACCTCGACCGCAGGCCAACGTCACTCGGCCTGTCAGCAAGTGATGCATCCGCAGCGAGACTCCCTGGCTCTCCTGGCCGCCGTCATGCTCGACGCCATGCCACCACGTCCATCCGTTCGTGAGTGCACTCTTACGACTGCGCAGTACGTACGCTACCTGATTCTTTGATGGCACGCTGTCCGACGCAGCTCTTCTGTAGCTTTCCGCAGCCAAGTGACACTTACGGCTGTTGCTGCTCCGAAGAGCCGGCCATCGCCCTCCGCCGTCGATCGATTTACGGTCTGAGCACAAGAAGCTAGCCAAGGCTCAATCACCGAAGGCCAATCAATGAAGGCAATAGGCAATGAAGCCAACGTGTTATTGCTGCACAGGCGATCAATCCGCCTCCTCTCAAGCAAACGCTTTCTTCGGGCGATGGGTTGCCGTCCTTTGCTCCCGCCGCCGCCGCTGCCAACAGAGCTGGCGCGTTGACGAAGGGGGTGGAAGCCTCGAGAGGCCCTCGTCCCGCCATTCACTCTTTCTCTCGACCTGACCAGGCCGTTGAGTTGGTCTGACCGAGCGCGCGCCGTCGAGCGAGGACTGCCGCCCCAACGTCAGATGCCACCTAGTTGCAGAGGCTGACGACGCCATCGTCGCCTTTGGGCAGGCTCCGACGTGCGACAACGGTGGCGCCTCCTTTCGGTCAAGCCTTGGCCAGGAACGTCGTTTGCGCGCCGGACAACCAGCATGACTGCGAGGCTTCGTAGGGAGACAAAGAGAGACACAGACACACACACACACAGAGAGAGAGAGAGAGAGAGCGCGCGCGCGGAGGGGGCAGACAGGAGCGAGGAGCACGGTGAGCCCCAGCAAGCTGCCCGATGGCTGCCCGCCCCGATGCACCGCCCATGACGGCGTGACCTGCTTGCTTGCAGGGCTGGCGGAGAGGCCCGAGCGCAGGCTGGCGGCGCTCTCTCTCCTCTCTTTTTTTTGGATGGGCGGGCGGGCGGGCGAGCGTGCGTGCGCCGATCAACGGTACGCAGGCAAGGCCGGCCTGCCTCCCTGCCTGCCTGGCCTGGCCTGCCTCTCTTTTGCCGCGGCGCAGGCGGGTGGCCCCTGTGCGGTCCTCGTTCGCGCGTGGGTTGGCCGCCTCGTCGCCCTCCTCCACCATCACCTCTGTCACCTCCCTCTCCCGCTCTCGACGTCGCTGGCCGCCTCCGCTGCACCCGCCGCTGCCTGCTACATCTCGCTCTCGCTGTCTTCTAGCCTCGCTCGCGCCCTCTGCCGACCCCTTCCCGCTCCTCTCTCTTTCTCTCCCTCCTCCCCCTCTTCCCCTGCACGCTCGGCTGCCATGTCCGGCTGGGGATCCTGGCTCAAGGGCGAGGCCGGCTCTGCGGGCGCCGACGCCACCGCCTCTGCGCCCAACTTCCAGGCCGTCACCGACGCCTTCCAGCAGGACGCCCTCTACGGACCTCTGGAAAAGTCTGACCTCGAGTGGACCTGCGCCGGTGGCTTCACCACCGAGACCCAGACCTGGTACACGGTCCTCGACGATGGCGCGTTTGCGACCAGCCAGATCATCCACTCGGCAGTCGGGTGAGTCACGAATCCCCCTCTCCTTGGCTCCGCGTCGCCTTCCTGGCCCGCACCCTGGCCGCGGCCCTGACACTTGGCTCTCACGCCGATCTCCGTCCCTCCGTCTCTGCGAACCTTCCCCGTCCGCATCGCCTGGCGGCAGGCTGTGGTACCCGCAGGTGCAGATGACCTTCAAGTACTTTAACCCCAAGACGGGTGTGAAGATCTGGAAGTCCGTCAATGCGTCCAAGTTTGCCGCCCCGCCCACGGCCAATGCCGCCGGCCCGAGCGGCGACAAGCGCTCGTCCAAGGCCGAGCAGTTTACCGTGCTGTTCCAGACCGATGACAAGGGCAACGACGCCTACACCATCACGGCCAACCTCGACGCCGACCTGCAGCTGTCGTACACCTTTACGCGCCCCTCCGAGACGCTCGGGTGGAAGCTGGGCGCGGGCCCCAAGGGCGGCATGAGCTTCTTTGGCGCAAACGCCGGCAGCCCCGACGGCTATGTCGTCCATCGCTTCTGGCCCATCGCCATGAGCCAGGGCCACATCATCGCCAAGGGCCAGGCCATCGACGCCAAGGGCCAGGGCATGTTTGTCCACGCGATCCAGGGCATGCGGCCCAACCTGGTGGCGTCCAAGTGGAACTTTGCCAACTTCCAGGCCGACGACGACAAGCTCGGCAGGGTGGCGGCCATCATGATGGAGTTCACCACCACCTCGGACTACGGCAGCGCCAAGGGGGGCAGCCAGATCCAGGGCGCGCAGGCGTCGTCGGGCGCACCCGCCGCCTCGGGCCGCGAGACGATGACGGTCAACATCGGCTCGATCGTAGTCGACGGCAAGCTGGTCTCGGTCACGGCGGCCACCCGCGGCGGCAAGGCGGCCGACGACGAG